TAAACTTGTTCAGTTACAATTTTCATATGATTAAAAAATTTGACCTTTTTGAAATTTGACGTACCAATTGCCTGTCGACAAAAAAAGGTAGATAAAGAAATGTATTCATACTCGGACATACTCGGACGTAGCTGCGCATTCTCTTGCGTGCATTTGGAGTTGTCCTATACGAACTCATTTCTGCATAGTTGTCATATACGAACTCACTTCTGCGAAGTTATCCTATACGAACTCATTTCTTGGAATGAGATGTAACTACATACAATCTACGATATATATTATATAGAGAGAAACGAGATCAAGTTGTTTACTCAGGTGCCATGTAACCAAATGTACCCACTGCACCAAGTGTTGCTGAGTTTCCAATTTATGTTACTTTTGTCAACCCAAAATCAGATACCTTGTTAGTACTCAAAACCATGAAAAAAGAATACACGTTTTCGAAATTGAGAACCACATTTGCTCGTAACTTTGATATATTAATATATTGGCAGATGGGGCTTTCAATTTTATATATATATATATATATATATATATATATATAATATATATATAAATATATATATATAAAAACATGTAAAATTATCATATTTATCATATTTTACTTATATTTCGCATATATTTTGCTTATAATTTACTTAAATTATATTTATTTTTAATTTTTTTTACAACTTTTCTATTTTTATGTATAAATTATTGTTTATTTCTAAATAACAGTAATTTATTTATTTTACTTATTAAGCCAATACTTCAATTATAGTTATTAAGTAATTCAATTATGTTGGTCGTTATAGTATTTTTCTTGTAAAAAAAAAAGTAAATGCCAAATTCTATTACAATTTTCATACGACTAAAAATTGGACTAGCAAAAATATATGTAAACACATTCTACAAACATTGTATCATTAGCTTAAACCACATTAGGAAATCATTAAATTCCACCATTACATTATCCATTTTCAAAGCTATACAATTGACATATAAAATTTATTTATCTCAAGAAATACTCTACCCATATTAAATTAAAATACAAAATACACAAAAAAAAAGATATTCATGATAAGACACAATTATTAGTAAATTAATAAAGTAACAGCCTGCCCCTAGTATATATATATATCTTTATATTATTAATTAAGAAGTACATGAAAAGTTTATGCCCAAAAAACCAATCTAATTATGAAGAGAAAGTGTTTGGCAACAAGTTTAACTAGGGTCAGTTTAGTACATTGTAATGTTTGGATACAAGAATAAGAGAAAAAACTATTTGGATAGAAGAATAAATGGAAAAAATTGTTTGGATACAAGAATAATAACTTAAAACAAACCGATGGTTTAGAAAACTTCCGTTTTCCAGCTTTTAAAAATCTGCAAAAAAAGTATTTGGATTTTCTTTTTCAGTTTAGGGTTTTCAGGATTTTTTGGGTTTCGGGTTTTCGGGTTTAGATATATTAAAAAAGTTTGAGTATTTTAAAATTTTGATTAGGGTATTTGGATTGGGTTCCGGGTGAAAAAGTTTTCAGATTTTTTTGTTTAGTTCAGGGTTTTCAGGATTTTTTTATTTCAGATTTTCAAGTTTAGACATATTAGAAAAGTTTGAGTTTTTAAATTTTTTATTAGAGTTTTTTGGTCGGGTCGGATTTAGGGTTTAAATTTTCTACACAAAACCACAACGTCACACCGCACAAACGTGCGGGTACTCTACTAGTATATATATATATATATATATATATATATATATATGTAGTACATTTGTATAAATACTCACATTTCATCTTAACTCCAAGTTCCAGATCAAACCCAAAATTGTCCATACTTTGTGTGGCTAAAACGTTGTCTCTTGTAAGTTGAAAGTGATTGTTGTATGCAGAAATAGACAAAAGAGGAAAAAGAAGAAGAGAGGATGGAATATTGGAGTAGCCCCTTCATCAATGGCGATTCTTCTTCCAACTTCATCTATCCTCTCCATAATTTTGACTATTTCTCAGGTACGTCTATGGTTAACAAAACTAATTCATATTCTCATGCTTATGTATTAACTCAATGTGCAATAATTATTAGTTACAACTATCTAAACCAAATAGCAAATTATGGTCTACTGACTCTAATTAGATGTGTTTTCTCGAACAACATGTCGTCTTTCTTACAAGTGTGCTTCTATTAATTTTTTAGGAAACCAAGGAAATAAATGTCTCTCTTCAGGAACAATGGTGGATGAACAACAAGGTTTGCTTCATGGACATCGTGTCCCTCTAGCAATGGTGGAGAGTAGCTACGGAGAAGCAAGCAACAACATCAATGGATATGGAAAGAAGAAGAAGAAGCTAACGAGCGAGCAACTAGAGTCACTTGAGAGAAGTTTCCAAGAAGAGATAAAGCTGGACCCGGACAGGAAGATGAAGCTCTCCAGAGAACTCGGGCTGCATCCGAGACAGATTGCGGTTTGGTTCCAGAACAGGAAAGCCAGGTGGAAGAACAAACAACTCGAGCATCTCTATGAATCACTAAGGCAAGACTTCAATGTTGTCTCTAGAGAAAAGATGTTGCTAGAGGAAGAGGTAATTAAACTCATTGATCAATCCTAATCTAAATCACCTTTCAAGTGACATCTACTTAATTTACTTTCTCCTTGTTTCAACAGCTTATACAACTGAAATCGATGATAAGAGAGAATGGTTTAAGCAGCGAGGCAGTATCGGTTTACTTTCAGCTCAATTAGATCTCAAAGACTCAAACTGTGTTCCAAAACTGTAGCTTTAATCCAACAGAAACATCAATGGCATTGGCATGTCAAGTTATTGCTTTTTGTATTGGGTTAAGCGATTTCAATGAAAATAAGTTCTGAAAGTTATTGATATTGCAGAACATTTATGCCCCTTTAAAAGGTTGATCTTCACTTTCAACCAATTATGCAACTACCAAAACTGATCAACTATGTAATACAGCCAAGTTCTCACTCAAATCTACTCCGCATATCAAGATCAAAAGAGAAAACATGGGAAATAAAAAGTTTCATACGCTGGAGAAAAACCTCAGGTACTACAATATATTAGATTGGGTGCAAAACTAATAAAATTGGTGAATAACAAATGTCAAAAACAAGAAAGAAAAGATAAATCAATAGAGATGAGTGGGGGACTAGTCTATTATAACTCCATTCAACGTCTGCCACCACCACCACCTAGCTTAGCAGCCTTGGGAGCTGCAGTCTTGGAGACATTGCCCTTCACTTGAGCCTTCTGTTGCTTTGAAGCAAACTCGGCCTTCTTTGCCTTCTTCTCATCCTTTGTCTTCTTGATTCTCTCCTTGATATCACTGCAGAATCATCAATTACATTTAGAGTCGAATCACATTTTCAGGTTATTTTGTTGGGAAAGAGAACTAACCGTAGTGCTGCTTCTCTGGCAGCATCACGAACTTCAGGCTTCTCTGCTCTCTTCTTCTGGATGGTCTCCAAAGTGGCACCAACGATGGACCTTGAGTAAGGCTTCTTGGTTGCACGTCTCCTCTTCTTTACAGACTCTGCTGCAGCGTCCTGTAAGAGATCAGATGAATGAAGAAGTCACAGATTAGGATCACTGTCACAGACCAAAACCAGAAACCAATAGAACGAAAACAAGACCTAAAGCAAAAGGGTAATGACCTTTTTGTGCTGTTTTCTGTACATAGCAGTCCATGCAATCTTGGATGGCTTCAACTTGTTGTGGAAGTACCTCTTACATTTGGAGTTGGCGAACAGAAACACCTAATGAATCATCAACATCAAGATAAAAGATTATGATCAATACAGAGACTTAAGCAAGCAAGCTCCTTAAAACACTGCACAAATTTGACAGTAAAGTACCTGAGAATCAGAACGGATAAATCTAATTCCTCTTCCGGGGTAGATCTTGTGTCCACTGAATCGGCAAAGCTCAGTCCTACATGTCAAATAGTCAAGGGTTTAGAGATATCACTCAAAATGTCTCAATCGAACCTAACACGGATCACATACACAAAACAGGACGACACATTAATATGATTCTTAAGAATCAGAGTGGAGCATAACAATGGCAATGAATACAAATTCTACCAGATTTCAAATACACACTAACGCAATTAGCTCAAAAATCAGAAAACACAATCGATATGTTACAATCAGTAAAGGGGAACAACCAGATCTAGTTATTGTCAAGCTCTAACCATATATCGAATCGCAAAATCTCAAAATCTCAAATTGATGACCATTTTGATAATAGCATAAACAGATTCTATCGGAAAGTAGCTCATTTGATCAAAGCGGCAACTTTAACAGTACCAAATGCATATGGATCATTAATTAACAGTAATGTACGAATACGAGATCAGGAGCATGAAGAAAGAGAGGGAGATGAGATTGATTTACTTGAGAACCATGGCTCCGCCGCGCTGAAACTCTCTCTACAGTTGAAACCCTAAAAATCTAAGCTTTTGATAAACGAAATAGTATTTAAGGCAGATGAATTTGTCTGAGCCCTAGCTTTCAAGGAATAAAACGGGCCGTGAGTCCAAAATAAATAGTTTGGCCCATTGAATGATAATTTTAGTACGGTTAAGCCCATTAAAGAAGATTTGATTGCGTATGTTAGCAATTTCATAGGGAATTACTATTCCAAATCGATACTTTAAACCGATTCCAATTACCACCAAAAAGCTGGAAATATCGATAACACAGTATTATAATAAGACCAACAAAATTGTTGATATCAATTTCACATCATCTGTACTTCTGTAGTATTTAAAGTCAGTTATATCAGAGATCATATATATAAAAGAAATATCTATAGGACCAGTTCAAATACAGTATCTCAATTCAATTAATTTGTTTGTTATGAATTTGACGTTTAACCGCAAGCTACTAGACCAACAATATCACTAAGCTAGACTTAAATTCGGAAAGGAAATCAATAATTTAAAATAGACAGACCGGTCATATGGTCGATGGACCAAAAGGTATAAATGATCGAATTATTCCATTGCAACCTCTCTAACCATGTGGTTGTGGTTCACAACAAATTCGGAACCACAATAAGTACGTTGTGATACACGAAACTCTTAATTGGCGGTTTTTTCATGCGTTGGTTAATGCAGGATGGTAAAGTGACAGCCGCGGTGGGTGCGAGCGGAGGAGTGAACATCATCGCCGGGACAATCGAGGTTTATTTTTTCCTCAAGATGGATCCTCTTTCTGCAGTCTTGGCTCCAAGAATCTACCATCAGGTTTTTTTTTTGCGCTCCTTTTGTTTCATCTCCCCAACATTGAACAACACTTTGTTGTTCTGTACTTAAAGATTGCTTTTTGTAATTTCATTTTCAGCTGATACCAAACGTAGTATCGTATGAAAATTGGACAACAGTGTTCAATGATCATTTCGAGATTACCAAAGAGACGAGAGTTGTGTTGGAGAAGAAAGCTCATGTACTAAGGCCGATCGTCGGAGGGACTATTTCTCAGTTTGTAGTTCAAGAATCCGGAATGAGTGAGCTTGTGGCGGTAAGTGATCCAAGAAAAGGAGGAACCCCATCAGGATATTGAGATTGGATGTGTTTATTGCGTCGAGCTTTATAGAGCTTCGTACCATTAAAACGATAAATAAATGTTCTGAAATGCTAGTCAAACGTTTAAGAACATATCTATACACTTTTCCGTTTTCTCTTGTTTGTAAGAATCGTGGATTTAAACCGTTTGACCAAAAAAGAAAAGACTAATAGAAAACCAAAACCAAAGTAGTCCAAACTGCTTCTTGAAAAGATCTTATGTTTTGGGAAAGTCTCTAACGGAAGCTTCCCTGATTACTCTATTACAATTAACAGAGTTAGAAAGATCTAAAAATAAGACCAACAACATGAGATATAAATGTATACTACAACTTATTTTGTCTAAAATCAAATTCACTAAAATAGTTTTCATGTACCACAAATTAATTATGGCTGGTTGTAGCACATCGAAGATCCAGCGCGCGGATCAAAGCTTTCTTTTCCTCAGAGACAGCAACAAATTTCTCGACATATCTCCCGGATCACTGCCTGTGCTGAATCGAGACTACTGTGAAATCCTCCACGCATTCGAGAGTGCTGGAGTTTCAATATCCAGAACCAGAATTATTGATTTGAGTTAATTAATAGAATATTATATTTTAAAAATATAAATTTAGTTTTTTTTTCTAATAAAGAGATGCTATCACTCCTATTGTTAAAAGGAGGAGATTGTCCATATGTCATCAGGAGAATGATATTCTCTTTTTATATTATGGATTAGATGTGACATTTATTTTTTTTATAGAAATTTATATCAAAGTTTGGAGATTTCTTGCTTTGAGATATTTATAAGGAATAAAAGAAAATAGCATTTTCTGTAAAATTTTGCAAATAACGGCCATGAACTGTTTCATCAAAAGATCTACTACCAGTAATATTATATCATATCGATCGAAACTGAATTTCACTGATCATGCTCTAACTGACATAAACAAGTATCCAAGAGAAGATAATCAGATACATGTTTACATATGAGAAGAGATTTAAATCAGTGACATGTTTGTTTATCCTTCATAACATTCGCACATATAATGACCGGTGTAGCCTTGACAAGAGCCACCGAGAAAACCTTGACCACTACAGTAAATAGCACATTCACTTTTTATGTCCTTGCCATATGGATCCGGGCATGGTCTCCCCGTTGGGTTTTGTGCTTCTCCAATCTCTATAGTTTATGTCAAAAATAAAATTTAGGGGTTTGTCTTACTAGACTAAACATATGAGCATCAATTATACTTGGAAAACTAAAAATAAATCAATGGAAAGAGTAGTTATATATAAAAGAAATCTTAGAGAAATAGATCACCTGCGTTTGAGAGAAGACAGAGACAAAGAACAAAGAGGAACGAGATCTTGTTAGGTGCCATGTTCTTATTTGATTTTTTTTTTACAAAATATAATATGGGGGAATTTAAACAAGATGAAGATGAAGGAGACTTTGTTAGACAGCGAATATATAAGTTTAGACAAGTTTACTGGATTATAAATGTTTAAATCTACATATGGTATTTTATTTTTAAAATAGGGATCTTTATATCTAAAATTGACATTTTTGACCAAATTATTACAATAACTGTTACATAGCAGAAAGGTAAAAGAGATCGAGAAATATTTGGTCAAAGATATCATTTCAGTTATATTCCTATGTTTTTTTTTTTTTCAAGGTTATATTCCTATGTCTAGTACAAAGATCTCTGCATTTAAAGAAAAATATCATATTGATTTTAAAAACGTATAATCCGGTAATTTGTTCTGCATTTGACCAAAGTATACTTCATCTTTATAAAATTCACATATTATATTTTATTATATTCAGTGTATTTCTGAAATTCCCCCTTAACATTTAACATTATACTAAATTGTAAAATTTATTGATTTAGTTTAACTATAATGATTTCTATTTAATTTAAAAATGCTATTACGATATAAATGGGAGAATGCAGTAAATATCGAAAGATATGAGACAATACAGTAAATATCGGAAGAACCCAAAGAAAGTGTTGGGAATATTTACAACGACTTGATAAAAGTTGAGCAAAAACTCTCACCACATACAGTACAGTAATTCGATGTTCTTTTAGAAGAAAAACAAATCTAAAACTGCATCATTCTCGAACGTGCGTATGGATATATTGCAATGGTGTAAGCATCTCCCCAAGCGGCCAAGCCCCCAAATTGTGCCACCAGAAGAGAAATAGAAGACATGCCACTGCACCTTGCTCCATCGTCTCCGATCGGTTGTTGCCTTGTTCGTCATTATAAAAGGGCCAAGAGGAGGAGACTGTCCGATCGCATTACCAATGTGTTCCATGGACTAGCACCACCCTGAGCTGTGTAACCGGAGACGACACCACTTCCACCGCAAGAACCGTCCAGCCAATCCGTGTAAGTGAAGTTGAGCTTTGATACTTTGTTTGCTGTGCAAGAAACCCGAAACCGAGAAATCTGAACCTTCTTCCATCTGCATCATTATCGTATCACCGATTTCTCTAACCGCATTACACAACTCATGCACGTAGTTATTTCATCATAACATAATTTGTAAAAGCTAAAGAAATCAAAATCTTCTGACGCAAAAAGATTGCTCTCATATGCATACGGAGATTCATGTTGCTTCCTTTCCATGAATCCAGCTTCACAATCAGACTCACTTTAGCAGAGTCGTAAACACGCGATTTAACAAGTTTTTAGGTATCTTAAATATTATTTCGTTACTCGTTACGACTGATTTTATATGGGCAAAGTAATTAAATTTGCTGACATAACAAAGGATACGTAGAATAAGTCCTGTTTTATGATCTTGGATCCTCTGTTTCAACTTTCAAGTGATGCGTCTAAAATTATAATAAAAAAGAAAAGAAAAAAACAGGATTATGTCAACTGTAACTTACTCGTGTTTTTCTTTAGTTTTCGTATATCCCCCTTACATACACGTGAAATTATATGTCTGGTATACATAATCAAACAACAGATACAAAATGTTCTTATGGTACATATACGTACATATGCGTCTCGTCACACGATTCGAACCACTCGAACTCTGCGTCTTGATGCTAACAACTCGTTCAATCTCCCAACTTCTACCATAAGTTCCTTTGTTTTCTACAAATCGCGAAAACTCCAATTAAATACCGAACCATAAATCTTTTCGATAAACTTCTGAAAGCTCAGAAAATTTAAGTGATTAATAAATATACACAAACCTGATCTTTCTCTCTGAGCAGAAGGAGCAGAAATCTCAGCTTCTCTTCCTGCAATCGTCTCCACCATCTCACCATCTTCACATAAACAAGGCTCGAGACCAAGAAGCAACCGCCAATGAGTGTAAATGACCAGAATACCCTCCTACGAGTCACGTAGTTACATCGCACTCTCTCGACGGCTTGGAAGAAGTCCTTGATCAGTCGCTTTTTGGAAATCTCGATAACGCGCCATGGAAGCGAGAGATTCTCGGTGGAGGATGATTCGCCTTCTTCTTCTCCGACGACGGGGACAACAGCATCATCTTCTTCGTCATCGTTTTCCGGTGGATATTCACGGCGATGGCTCGGTTGTGATCTCGGTGAGTCTTGAGGGGTGGATGCGACAGTTGGTGGGGATGTAGGTGAGGTTTGTATCACTACCCATTCACTGAATTCTTCTTCTTGCTCTGTCTCTGCCTTGTCCATAATTTTTGGATAATCTTCTGCGTTTTTGTGTGGTGATCTGTACTTTTATATATGACGTCATTTTACAAAGATTTTGTCACAGGTCTTTAATTCTTCATAAATATCCTCCAGTAACGATATTTCTTTTGCTATTCGAGAGAAAAAATATCTAACAGCACGATAATGATTGGTCTCTACTGTTTCCATTTTCAAAATATTTTTGGAGATTTTTGCAAAAACAAAAACAAATATTGTGGCTTCGGTTAATTAATAGGGGAAATTGCTATTTCTAACCATAATTTCATTTTTTCAAGAAGTCTAACCTCTATATTGTATGTTTGGCAAAACTAACCCACAAGGTTAGTAAAATTACAATTCCTCCTTTGTGAACAAAGAAAAAACGTGTGTCATAATGTCAGATTTACCCGAAGATATCTGCTTGGGAAATCTACTTGTGCAGACGTATATTGAAGTCTACCACATAATTTCATCATAAAATTTAATTACAAATTCTACAAAAAATAATTTGATATAAAAAAATTATACAAAACCAAAATATAGATGTTCTTCACGTATGAAAAATAAAATTATTCAATTTAAATCAAAACCAACAAATTAGGTCAGAAACCTATACAACATTTGGAAGTCTACTTGTGAAATCTACTAATTAACAAAAGTTTAAAACTTAATTATAAAAATTATAAAAAACATTTTGGATAAATAATTGAATCCATAGCGTAAACATATATAACTAGCACTTGTATAAAAAACAAAATCATAAAAATGAAACAATTTGTAAGTTTCATAAGTATAAGATTGAAATGAGTAGAGTTTGAGGGTTAAAGTGTATGGTATATAAGTGTTATTGTTAGGGTAAGTCCAAATTCATTAATAATTTTTGATTATGGTTTGGTTAAAGTTCATATAATTGTTATTTTAACTGTAAAATGTGAATATGATATCAAATCAATGTTAGATATAAGTTTTAATGTTAAAATTTCGAAATAGGGTTTAGGGTTTGGATTTAGGGTTTAGCAGACTTCATCTGTAGACTTCAATAACCAACTTTTATAGAAGTCTGAAATATCAATTAAGCTGAGCGGAAATCCAAAATTTTAGGCAAATTGGAGGGAACCGAAATTTAATCAGTCTACTTTAGTAAACTTTGTATATTGACGTTGGAAGAAGTCTTCTAGTACAACTGAGCCGGTTAAGATATATTGAACCGAACGATTTTACCCAAAACCAGACATTAACCAGCATATATATATTCGGATTTACCGAAGAGAGACTCCATTTTCAGAAAAAAACCCTAATTCCTCTCGACCCCAACTTTTCTTCCGCTGCCGAGTCGCCGTCGTCGTCAAACAGAGTTCTCCGACACTCATCGTTTTCGCCGCCGCGCTTGCCTCTCCGCCGGTAATACTTGTTCCTTTCTCTTACTCTGTTCGTTAGAAACACTTCAATGGGTTTAGTGAATTAATCGAGTTTCCTTTTCCTCTTCTCATATCTCCGCCGCCGCTTTTGCTTTGCCATCTTTCCTCCCAAATCTCGCCGTAATTTATCTCGATTCTCGCCGGTAATGACTCTCATCTCACTCCCTTACTTTCCTTACCAGCATATCTTGCAGTTAAACTCTCAATCCCTTAGTCGCTACCTTTGATTTTACAGATCCTGTTGTCTTCGCCGTTGGATTTATGCCTCTAAAGTGTAAGATTTCTCTATCCCTTTCCTAAATTGCTTTAGGTTGAAAAGTTCGATTTTTAGGGAAATATAATTTTGCTGGAGGTTTAGTATTTTGAAAGATTGGGAGAAAAGGTTGCAAATTTAGGTTACATATAGATCTTTTTAATGATGGGTAATGAGATTTCGATCCTATTGCTGCAGAAAACAGAATGGACTAAGCTTGCAAGGAAGCGGCAGCGAGATTCTATTGTTGAAAAGATCTTGCAAGGAACTCTTGTCACTTGTGGTTAAGTTTCTCTCCTCTTAGACTTGTATATTATCTTTAGTTCATTGGTTTTGGTGATAATGAGTTAGACTATCATCTGTGCTAATGTTAGCTACTCTTGATAATGTTTATGTCTTGTCTTGTTCATAGTATTCTGTTCTCTATGATTCTCAAATTGATGTTCTTTCAGTGTGTGTAGGATTTATTGTGTATTCTAAGCTGTTTTCTTTGCCTTGCGATTTCTGCAATTGTTTGGTCTCTTTAGACATTGTTGCGGTTCGTGATATTTCTTTATCGGTTTGTTTATGTCTTGTCTTGTTCTTAAGGTTCAGTTTATGTTTATGTTTGGGTTGCAGAAACAACGAAGTGTGTTGATTCCTTTACCTCTATGATGAGCTTTTAAGATGTTTTGATTTTGTTGTTGTGTTTGCTCACGCGGTGTTCAAGAGTTCTTGTAACTGCATATTAGATCCACTTATGCTCTTTCTGTTTCATGTTCAATTATTTTACCTCAGCTCATCATCTCTCGATTTCTCTTTCAGGCTTGTGGACAACTTGGCTAAGCAGCTTGAGGGATTAAAATCTTCAGGCATGGTTTACTATGACGATCAAAGCTTTCATGGCCATGTTTTTAATTCTTGTCTTATGTTCGGTTGCTTCTAAATTCTTGATGTACAAACATTGTCATTCGTCAAAGAGTGTTTTAACCGAAGGATTTTGAGAACCATACATAAAAAAAAGTTTTTCAGAAATCTCAAGCCTTAACAAAGGTTTTAAAGCCATCCTTGAGAAAGGTCTATCTACTCCATAAACAAAAGACAGCAATGAAACCTAAAAGTGTACATAAACACTTTGCTCTTAATACCAGAATTAAGAATGGCAATTTAACAAGTAAACTTCACTTACAACATATACAAATCACATAATAGATTTTTGTTTTTCTCAACCATTCCTTAAGTTAAACAATGTTCATCTTTTGCCATTATCTACATTTAGGTAAAATAGATACAAACCACATTAAGAATGACAATTTAACAAGTAGACTTCACTTAAAGTCTATAATGATAACATAGACTTCAGCTAAAGTCTACATCTAATAAACGAAAAACGTAATCACACAAAAAATATTATTTAAAGCTTAACTATAACATACAAACATGTTAAACTTATACAAAAGCAAAAACTATAAATAACACCAACTTAAGACTCAACAATTTTCTTTTTTTTGTCACAAATTTCAGATAGGTGAATTTTGTATAAAAAATAAATATGCAGAGTTCAAACAAAGTCTACTAAGTACACTTTCCAAGAAGTCTGCGATTAATGAGTTAAATGCCAAATAGAAAAAGAAAATTGATTCCATCATACCTAAAACTTATAAACATGTGAAACTAATATATAAGTAAGTACACTTACTAACACAACTGCAAGATACAAAAAAACTTAAAAAACAACTATAAAATTGAAATAAATGCATTTTGAAATAAACGTAAGAATGTAAACTTCTATGCAAGTCTACATGGATAAACTAACAATCAAGTCAGCATAAGTAGACTTCATATGAAGTCTCTCCTGCAGGTTATTTGTGCAATTGTCAAAAGATTAGTAGACTTCAGAGGAAGTCTATTCATTCAGAGAAGTTTTCTCATGAAATCTGCTTAAAACCGTGAGTTAGTTTTGCAATTGAACAAATTTTAACTTTTTTGGAATAGACTTCTTCAAATTAAGTAGACTTCGCTTACAGTCTACCCGTAAAAGTAGACTTCACATGAGAAGTCTACTTTCTGAGCAGACTTTACAGAGGTTAGTTTTGCAATTGACCAAATCTGACTTTTTATAGTAGACTTTCAGAGAAATCTACCTACCGAGCAAACTTTAAATGAAGTCTATATTGAGTTAGTTTTGGGGTTGACCAAAAATCAAATAAATTAATTAGTAGACTTCGTGTAAAGTCTACTCAACTAGTGGACTTCACTTGAAGTCTACTCAAAATTTGAAGTTTCGTCAATCCAAAAATCAGTCTAAGTAGAGTTCGAAAGAAGTCTGCCAGAAAAGTCAAGCATTAGTCAATTACAAAACTAACATTTTTTTTTACAGACTTTAGAGGCAGACTTCTCTAAAAAGTCTTCTCATCGGTCAATTGCAAAAATAACTTCGTTTCTAACGAAGTCTTCGTCTGAAGTCTACGCCATATTTTTTTGTTCTCAAAGAAAAGGGCGTCGACTTCAACCAAAGTCTACTGTTGTAAATCGGTCAAATAGTCAATTGCAAAACTAACTTGTGCGTTGACCAGCAGACTTCTTTTCAAGTTTACGATCATTAGTAGACTTCAAAAGAAGACTTCATTCGCGAGACAAATCTGAAATTTCACGAAATTGATCGGAAAATTATCTTACGGTGGTCTTGAGCTTGTTAGACGGTTCATAAATTCGATTCTAACCACCACCAAGAAAGCCCATACACTATCAACAGCCAAACTACGAGCTATTGCAATTTCTTTGATTATCAAATTTGGAAATGTTAAATTGTGAAGTTTTTTAGATGAAAATTGAGAGAAAATATAAGAATATAAGGTTTTTAGATATGATAATGAGATTAGAGTGCTCAAAAATGGGTATTTGAAGCTTTAAAAGCTTCAAATTGGTTGAAAATGGTGGTTGGAAGAATTGATGTCAATGGCATTTTCGTGAATAAGTGAAGAGGATGAGGATTGTTTTGTCTTTTGGATTTCTTAAATTAAAATAAAAATAAAAAATGTAATGGCACTTTCGTAAATATAAGAAACTGGATAGGGTGAAGTTGAGAGAAAGTGGCAAAATTTTTGGAGAGTTGAAAAAGAGGTTACATATGCAATTGACCCCAATTTTTAGGTCACTATTGCAAGAATCCCTAATTAATAGGAGCGCACAACAGAAAAGATCATAAGAAATTGTGTAAATAATCTGTAAAATGAAAATCAGTAAGCTCAATCAACAATCTGTATATATATGAGTAAACTCTCAACTTTATCAATCAATCTTAAAATCAATAACAACTGAATTAAACTTTAGAGTTTAGACCTAAACAACCTATATATTTTTAGAAAAAAAAAAAAAACCCTAATGATAATATATATTCAATACTTTTACCAAAAAAAAAATATATTCAATACATTAGGAGATATATTTATTATTTCGTGCTGTTGGGTGATCAATACATTATCATACATGGGTATAAATATAACCAGAAACCAAATTAATGGCATGCAAGATTATATTGATTATATTTTTCAACTTACATTGGATTTTTTTTTCTTTTCTTATAAACCAACTTCTTGTCTACGTTTAGATAAGAGCTTCAAAATCTGAAAAATGGTTCCAAGATTGCATGAATGGTTAACATATATGGGTAAGAGGCTTATGATCTCTTTCTGATTTGTATCATTATACATCATATAATCCCTTGAGCCAGCTTGTAATCGTCATCTTTTATCCTTTTCAGCTTCAAAACTTCCTGGAAAACTTAGCTTTCGAAAACAAACAGAGGAACCAAACATTCATGTTGCTGCCACGACTTTAATATCATCACATGGTACGTACATAAGTAAAGTATATACCAAATCAAATCAAGTAAAACATATTTTTCCCTAAAGAATCATATGTTTTTAGATCTCTTATAATGAATTTAGGATTTAATATCAACTATATAATGAATAATTATTGTGGTTTTGGATATCAAGAAAAGCCGAGCTTAGAATCTCGTAAACTAAAGGGGATAAGATTCAATGATTCGAGAGGTGGAGTAGACTTTGTCTTTGTAGACAGTGAAGCACAAAAAATATCAAATGAATCTGCAACATCACAAGAACTTCCGTCTTCTTCTACTACTACTTTTGTTGCACATTGTAATGAAAGTTCTAATTCTCTACGATCTATTGTTATTCAGTAAATATAAATCTCTAATCTTATTTGTAACTAAATTAAATTTTCACGAGCAATAAAAATGCTTATTAAACTATATATTTCCGTCTTCATATTACATTTATACTTTTGTGGCATTAAAATGATCCACCGCCACCATTGTAATGATCTTGTGTGGTACATTGTTTGTTTATTTCCTTTTCTAAAACTGCATATTGTTTATTCGTGGATTAGTGTAACCACAAATTAAGAAACTAATATATTTAAAATTATGTTATCCAAAGATCAAGAAAGCAACGGAGAATATTTGACTCTAAATCAATTGGATCGAAATTAAAACTATTACTATTCGAAAGTGGGAAACTAAAAATACTAAAGAAAATAATATATTTATAGAAGTTGAGCTTCTATTACTTGATCAAAAATGTTTATTATAAAATTATTATATGACTATTACTATTTATTGTACAACATAACTGAAAGTATATTATGTTATTCAAATAAATTTTATATTGGATTTTTAATATTATTTTATTTACATTTAAGAGTAATCATATTTGTTTGATATTGTTTCTGTAAATTGTCTCCAAATTTTTTCAATAAATCATATATACGGGACCTTATCTAGTACTACAAATAATTAAAAATACAAGATAAAAAAATGTTTGGTTGTATATGTGTTGTCGAATGGGTCCACTCTAAGAAATGGAATAAACTTTATGGAGAAACAATCTAGAGGGAAAAGACATATAACCAATGTATTAAAAATCGGACTGGAAAGCGAACCGGATAAGTATCCAGATTATGATTCAATTTGGTTCAATCTAGTTGAACATGATTCATAATAATTTATGTATATTTATTTTTAAATAGAAATTTTAAAATACTTATTATAAATAGTTAAGAGTTGATATATAAGTATAAATATGAATATAATAGTATAAGAAAAATTAAACTAAACCTAATATTGTGAAATAACTTCTAATCTAACATATAATTAATTAAATGATCTAAACAGACTGGAAACCCTACCGGTCACATATCCGGTTCATGGTCGAACTGGTCCGACCAAAGGGTTGATCCGGTTTTCAAAACACTGATTTAAATGTTTAAATGTTATAAAAAAATGGGAAAACCACATAAAAAAAACATTTAAAGTGGTAGTCACTTACACTTTAAATCTTGAGAATTTTTAAATAGCAGTTTAAATCATTAAACTGAAAACTTTAACACAAATATTCTATATGACACTTATGTTCGTAACTATAATTGTTTTATCTGTATTTTTGATTTTAATGCCGAAATATTATTCTCCAACAGTACATAAATTTTAAGACACAAATCAATCATTATTGTCTTTATTTTCACATTTAACTATGTTTTCAATTTAATGGTTCAAAGTGCATAAGATCAAGCATATTTGATTAGGGAACCAATATATTGTTATTTGATTAGGGAACCAATATATTGTTGTTGGAGATTTTGTTATCTAAGTTGAAAATATCACAAAAAGATTATACATAAGTGTTCGATTGAAGGTTTAAACTTCAAATATCATACTCTTGTTGCTGCGCTGGCTTCTCTCTCCTGCTCAGTTACATCTTCTCCATTTCGATCCTCAGTTGATGTGATTTCACTATCAGTCTCCTTCAATTCTACCCGTCTTCTTTTTATTTTTCTACTTTGCTTCTCATCATTCGGTTGGACCACCTCATGTTCCCCTCCACCTGTACTGACTCTAGCTTCAACTTGAGCTCTTTCGTCCTCCTCCTCATCGTCTTGGAAGTGTTCTGTAGCAACCCTCTCTTCGTCTTCTGATGCTTCAACCTCCTCGTCTATCAGATTATATTCTTTCATACCAGTAACCACTTGTAACTTCCCTTCATCCTCTTCTGGTTTATGAGAATCCTTGTCAGCTTGATCCTCACTTGCAATGTCTCTACTCTTCCTTGAATGCTCTTCTTGACTTTTGGGAACACTTTCCTTAACATCATCCTTCTCTTTCTCTAGATACTTGAAGACTGCCTTTTCCGCCTCAATGGCCTCCTCTCTCAATGATTTGCACTTCTGTGATACAATTTTTAACCAGCAGTAGGGACAAAATGGATTCGAAAGATCCTCGTTACCACCGAACTCAGGAGTCAAACACTTGTCGTGATAATGAACCATACAATCCACCCCACAACAACGGATTACAAGATTGTCTGAGACTTCACACACGATACACGCATCGAATTCCAGCGTCTCCGATTTTCCTGTCTCATCACCTTTCTCAAGACGAAAATGACGCTTCTCGTGTGCCACATCATCTCTTTCATAATCATCATCACTAGTATCTGGATTAATCTCTCCGGAACCAAATCTTCCCTGCGAGAGGACATTTATGCACAATACATCAACTTTAAGAGTTACAAATTTTAAACCTAGTTTCTAAATTCAAGCTCCGTGCACCACACAGTTAAAAATCCAAATCTACGAGTTCACCAACTGGATCTAGTGTAAATTCATCAAATCAGACGGCTTATCAGTTCTAGTTCACCGTACTCTAGAGAACATTACCCTCTAATTCTTCGATTCGATCCGATTCCGAGAAACAAACGGAAACGAAAGGGATAAAAAGGAAGGTTACCGGAAGGGATCGAGAGGGAATGAGAGACTTGTTCCGAGACCTAGCCGGAATCGATTTCGTTCTCATCTTGATCTTCTTCTGCTTCTTCACTTGCTCATCAGTCGCAACGAACAGTCTTCTTACTCGAGAGTCCAGAGAGAGTTTCTTTTTCTTTTCTCGATTGGTACGGTTTGCTTCCAATAAACCAAACCGAAATCGAGTCAAGCTGGCAATACGACGACGTTTTCACAGTTCCCAGTTTAACATTGTTTAAATTTCTCGTTTAAAGAGTAAGCTAGTTCATTTTGATACTTAAGAAATAAGATGTTGAAAGAAACCCACCAATTAAGTATTTTTAAAGGATTTTCTAATTATTCTTCTATTAAAGAACAATTAAAACAAAACTATTTAGAAAAAGAAAAAAAACAATATCCTGTTTCCAACAAAAACTTGAGCAAATTTAGGAAACGACTTCAAAATTGCATCTGGAGGAAGCTTTGGGCAGACTTTGGAGATCTGACATGAGTTTCATCTTTCCATTACCTGTTGCCTGAGAACAAACTTCCACTAGCTCAAGACATGACAATTTGTCCAAAATGTACTTCATTTGTATCAATTCTTCGAGACAACCATAATACTCGGTGATCTTTAGGACCTCCAAAGGACACGACAATAGGAAAGAATAGTCCGACACGCACTCACATAGAGCATCTTCTTCACAATAATAAACACCCTTATAGTGCAAGGGACCCTGAAAGAAGAAAATGATGGAAAGTACTAGATCAGAATCAACTTTTTATGAGTAATCAAGTGCAATTTCTTGAAGTCAGGGTCGAACGTTGATGGTTAGACTCTTAAGATTTGGAGATTTCTTTATCAACGTTGGCAGAGGCAACCAACAGAAGTTAGAGAGGTTAACTGTTAAATGAGACAGATTTTGAAACACCGGGACTTGATCACGGAAGACAGAAAACATCTGTAACACAAGAAAATCAATGATACTAATATAATTTAAGATTTGTAGTAAATTAAATATTGTCAGAGAGAGAGGAAGAACTATACCTTTGCTGTTTGAATGGTATACAAGTTGAGAATCTCAACATCTTTTAACCCGTTGAGCAGATTCTTTGGACGAAAACGATTTCTATCCGATTCTTCCCACATATAATTTTCTTCGGGACAAAGATAGAGCTTAGCTTCAATAAAGGAGCTGAAATTAACATTTAGAAACTCTTTTGTAACATAATCCGAGTAGTTTAAGCAAGAAAGACCTGGAATATCAAAACTAATGCTCTTAAAATCAGAGTCATCAAAAACATCCCACTCGTTACGTGTAACAGTGAGCCTCTTAAGGCTGAGACTAGAAACAGGCGGGACCATTTCCAATGTTGCCAGTTGATATCACGCAAGGTTAGTTCCTCAAGCAGATGACACGCACCAAGAAGCATTTTGAACGCACAGCGACCACCAAACTCGTGGAACATACCGAAAAAATAAAAAGAGTTTTGAGAGCGGGAAGAAAAGCATTCGGAGGGAGAATGTCAATAGCAAAAGTAAACCCTAATGACAGTTTTGTAATTGTCTTGCAAGTTTTCACTTGCAAAAGGAAATGAATAACCTTCTTGCAAATGATAATTTGACTTTAAAGGTTTTTTTAAAGTGGTATTTTGGTGTAAAAATTAATAAATCGCCGACTGAGGGGATCGAACCCTCGACCACGGGATTAAAAGTCACGCGCTCTACCACTGAGCTAAGTCGGCTTTGTTGATATCAGTTGCTTTTTTAAATAAATATTCCTTTTGCAATCCAAACAACAAGAGTTTGACCCGACTCTCGACCCTACCCGCACTATATCTTGAAGGAAGTCGTCGTCATTTGTTTCCCGATTCTTCTGCTAACTACGTGTTTCCCACGCGCTTCAATGGCTACAACATCTTCTCCTCCTCCTCCTCCTCCGGTGAACCTCTGGGTTGTGCTAACGGAATCGAAGCGGATAATCAACGCCCACTCACGCCACTTCCTAGCTCTCTCCGTCCTCTTCCTTCTTCCCCTCTGCTTCTCAATCACTGTCTACCCCTCCGTCTTCCGCCTCATCGCCGATCAATCAGCCGCTTCACACAACAGCGTCTCTCTCCTCCGCGGCGTATTCCACGACGATCAACCGCCACCGGCGGGTGCTGATACCGCGACGGTGGTCCTTCTCCTAATCGCTTACGTCGTCGTTGTCACCGTCTTCAACCTCTTAGCTATCGGATCAATCGCGTACAGCGTCTTCCAGGGATTCTACGGAAGACCTGTGAAACTCATCTCCGCCGTGAAATCGAGCTTCACCTCGTTTTTCCCTCTTCTCGCTACTCTGATTTCATCCAATTTCATCGTATTTGGGATTTTGCTGATTCTAGGGTTTGCAGCGTTCTTATCGACTCGCCTAATCCAGCTCATCTTCCCTGGCCTCGAAATCGATTACGCGTCTCCTTACTTCCGATATGTCTCCATGGTTGTGATGCTCATCTGGATCGCAATCGTTATTAAGCTCTCCGTCAATTGGATCCTCGCTTGGGTCGTCGTCGTCGTCGAATCAGCTTGGGGGTTAACGCCATTGAAGAGAAGCAAAAGCTTGGTCGAAGGAATGAAAAGCGTTTCTCTGTCTCTCATCTTCTTCTTCGCAGTAACACAATCGATTCTCGTCTGGATCAGCACCGTAGCAGCTTCCGCTCAGATCGACGACGACGACAATGGAAACGGCGAAACCGGGAAACTGTGGACAAACGCGTTCTTCGTGCTCCAGATCGTGATCACGTCTGCGTTTCTAACGATTCTGACGCTTTATAACCTTGCGGCGAACACGGTCATGTACATGCACTGTAAAGCTGTTCACGGCGAGCTTGCTTGGGAGATAGCAGAAGAGTTTGCTAGAGAATACGTGAGCTTGCCTTTTGATGATGGTAAAGCTCCTCACTTGGTCTCTGTAGCTTACAACAACGTCCGATGAATGATGATGATGAAGAATCAAAGGTCAGTGTTCAAAAAAATCTGTGCTTTTTGTATGATAAATCAAAGTTTGTATATTGTATCTTCTTTAGTGTTTGACATGAGAATACACATCTTTTGTAATGTGTATGAAATGAATGATCTAAATTTGTGGTTATGGAAGGTGGTTTTTTCCGTCAAGAAGCATTAATCTTCCATGAAAAATATATCATTTTTACCAACATTGTTATTACAAGAAGGAATCCACAAAATGTAACCTATTATCAGAAGAACAAAAAGGATCCCTGTAAATTTTATCTTTCACCATGTACAAAAGAATTCACATACGAACCACAATCTTGAATCTGGTTTTTACATTACATCCTAAAGCTTCTTCAAGATTAAACAAAAGATAACAAACCTTCTGTCCATAGAAACATGTGGCAGTTTTGAGTAAACATGACTCACAACAGGTAAGTTCATCAGAGTATCTTCTCTCTCAACTGATTTGCTCTTCTTTAAGCCTTAAACGAGCAACGGGCTGTTGGTGATTCAAGTTAGCCGAGGCGTTGTTGTGTAGATTGTTTGGTCTCAACTGATGGCTACTGGTTCTAGCAGCTGGAACGTCATGGTTATGTTTCCCTTCGTATGTGGTTACAACAGCTTTCGAGTCATTTGCTGCTCTCTCTACATGTTTCCTCACTCCGCAAGCAGGTGTTGTACACTTATAGTAGCTCCTGTGAATAGATCAAAGAGAGCGTTTAAGGAAAAAAGACCAATGAGAATCTATAAAACTCGATGATGACCGGGTTTTAAAGTCTCACCTCGGATTAAGATTTCCTTTGACTACTTTCTGACCATACTTGCGCCATCTATATCCATCATCTAAGAGATCAACTTCACTCGTCGTCTGGACAATAATTCTAGGCTCTGTCACCGTCCTATGCGATGAAGAAGCTGGTTCTGTAACCCGGACTTCTGTGTTTCTGCAACATGCAACTCCATTAGAGATTAAGCAAGAGAGAACAGTGACATCTCTTGAAAGTTTTTTGTTTTTTTACCTTCTCTTGGGATCAGGCTCATCTTCTTGTTTTCCTCTCGTACTAGTTTCTGCATTACCGACCTCCTCGCTGTCACTTGCTTCAGACATCTGATCTGTAGTTGTAGTAACCTGGCTTGTTTCCTGGTCTCTCTTGGTCTTGCTATTACTGGTTTGATGAAACTGAGTTGCAATATCACAACTTTTGTTATGGTTTCCTCCACGCTTATTGTTTTGAGGAAGTTCGTGACTGTGCTGACCCTTGTAGATGATCTCAGTCACTTGTCCATCGGGAGACCTCTCCACTTTCTTCTTGACAGGACACGAGGGATGCGTGCATTTGTAATAACTCCGAGGGAAATCGCTCCCTTTCACTTGCTTCTGGCCGTATTTCCGCCAGTTGTATCCATCATCAGCTGGTTTGTCAGCGTTCTGAGGCTGTGACCGATGCTCAAAGACGCATATATCAGAGGTTTCTCGCTGAGATTGGGATGAATCTTGAACCGGAGCTGGCATCTGGGACCGAGGTCCGGAAGAATACGATGGAAGCTCAGTCACTGAAGCTTGTTGTTGGTGTGTAGAGGAAAGATATTCGGTTTGTGGTTGCATATGGACAACATTATTGTTGCCTTGGACTGCTTGTGCAGTGACTTGTGCTAAAGCTTGTTGGTGTGTCATACCAAATGTTCCCTACAACATAAAGTCACATTTGTATTAGCTAATGATATTGTCAAAGTCCAAGCAATTTACTTGAACACATAAAACAAGATTTGAGATTTGGAAAAATGGGTCAGAGAAACAATACTACAAATGATCATTGAAGGTAGACTCAAAGACTTGGGATGCTTTAGCATTAGCATATGATCTGATAAAAATCAAAATTCCCCATTTGACCTAAAATGAAGAACATTTGAAATGATTTCTTCTCATATCATACAGAAAATTGATATAAATTTGTTGGATTTTCGTCTATAAACCGAATGGAATTAAACAATAACCGGAAATAGCAACAGAATATCCAAAAAAGCCATAAAGTCATGAACTTTCGGTTACCAAAAACAGAATTTCAGACAAGCGACAAAAAAAGAAAGAAAAAAATTAACGTTTTTGTTAAATGAGATTCACACCTGAATGGGTGAGAAAAGACCAAAGAAGCTCGGAGAATCCAGAAGAGTCGCGGGGCTTAATCCCGGCGGCACGGTGAACATCGCCGGAGGCTGCGTAATCATCAATCCCGTCGGTCTATTTTGTTTGAACCCCGGGTCAAGAACATCTCCACCGCCACCGACGGAGCTCACAGATGTTTGATGAGCAGTAGCGACGACGGCAGCAGCAGCAACAGCAGCCGCCGGAGAAGCCATAGCTCCGGCTAGAAGCTGAGAGAAGGATTTGAATTCATCGGGATCAGAGAACATATTGGAGACGAGAGTCATAGGACCGGGACTAAACCCAACGCCGCCGCTAAAAAACATTTCCCCAAACGGCCGTGGAGGAAGTGAAATCGTTGGCCGTGAAGCTGCGGTGGATGATTTTAACGTCGGAGGCTGTTTTTGTTGTAGTTGCTCTTCCTTCTCCGCCATCGATTCCGATTTGAAACAAAGAGGATAAAATCCAACAAACCCAACTCACAATAAAGATATTTTTCTTTTCTTTCCTCTCTTTAAACCTTTTTTGATCTTTAATACAAAATCAATCCGTGTCGTGTTTCAGTTTCACTTCGCTTTTTCTTATTTTCCTCTTTTTATATTCTTCTGCAAAATAGAGAGATTTTTGAGATTTTTTGTTTTGTTTTTTCTCTTAAGCAGATCTCGAAAAATAAAATTGTATAAAATTTGGTTTGCAGTATAAAGTCTGCGGTGCAGATACGAAAGAGTAAGCTCTCTGTCTTTTTTTCCGCTCCTTCATTTTATCCATTACTCTTTTCCTTTACCTTACCTTATTAATCTTTTTTTTTAATGTTTTATAAAAAAATCCACAAGAATGGCACTGTCAGTACCGAATGCTAAACAAATCCAATTAAAAGGAGGTTACAGAAAGTGAAATATCCGAACTTACTCAAATTTGTCCCCAAAAAAAGTAACACATAATTTCATAATTATTTCATTATTGGAAACTTAGAAGAAAAATGAAAATTTTCTATAAATAAAAATTCATAAGCTAGCATATATTTTGAAATTTTTTTGTGTAATAATAAGTTGTAAATACGTTTATTCAGGACAAGGATGAAGGATCTAATAGATTCTTATTTAAATAACAAACTTGTTGAATAAAAATTGTGTCAAATTGTTTTGTCCATATTTGTCGTAATTGTTGAGTTATGATTGGCTGATAAGGGAAAGAAGTTTATAAAAAGCGTCGGTCTGTGTATCAAACTACAGTTTTGTCCCTGTGATGACATTTGCCTCGCAAGTCAACAGCAGCTCCAAGCACGACTCGACGGTTTTTAACCAATTTGTCCTCTCCACGTTCTACAGATAACGCTTTGCCACGTATACACTGAACAGATCCAAAGTTACGGTCGATTTAGCTTAATCATAAGAGCTGTATTATTAAGACAAGACACACGTTCGCTCCTGCCATAGAATATTCATGTAATAAAATGATTTATTTGTGGTACGGATTTTTCCTGTAAAATGGTGAAAGAGGAAACGTGTGGGTTAGAGAAAGAGTGAGTAAATTTAAGGCTGGCAGCGCAAAGAAAACAACTTGATATTTTTGAGGGCCCAAATACCTTTGAAAAACGGGCCAAGAGACAATAAATCCTTCATTGTCTGTGGGGCCCACGTAGGCCCCTTTTCATTCAATGCCACAACGAATCGCCTCTTCACTTATTCACTCACTTATCACATCAAGAAGAAAGCTGAGGAGGAACTGTGATTGTAAACGCTTGAGTGCGCAACTTTTGTAATGAAGTTTGATTGCTAAATCACAAGCATTTTATGATAACCGCTAATTGCTTAATCTTGTAACTGAAACTTGATGTTCTTTTTTAACTGAATTTTGTAGAATTAGGATAACATGGTTTCTTTCATGTTTCAACATTCAACAATGTAAATTGGAATTTTGTTTTTTTTTCTGACCAGGATGAGAGTTATATATACCTCTTCGCAAGATGCAAATAAACCCAAATAACCAATATGAAACTTCATGAATCAAATATGATAATAACAATAACACTTTAGAACTCTCCAACGACTTTGATAGCATCATGAGGAGTGTCGTAAACATCCTTAGACCGAGACTTCTTGACACCAGCGGTGAACCAGAGCTTGTCGGACTTGGAGCTCTCCACCGAGATTGTTGTCACTTTAACCCAAACCAAAACTTTCGTCTTCATTCCTTCCACGCCCATCAGTTTCCCTCTAAGCAAAATCCCTTTCACTCGTGTCGCGTACCGTATCGCTGATCCATCTTTGAACGTGACCTCGCATGGCGAAGAGAAGAAGACAGTGAGCTTGTTCTTTGTCTCGTCGAACTCGTAGCAGATTATGTTTTCTGGGAAGAGTCCTGGCGGTAAGTTGTATTCTTTTAGAAGATCTGGTAAGCTTTTCAATGGCTTTCCTGAATTATACAAAGAGAAACAGAAAACAAATTTGCAGGTTAGGAACTTTAGCATCTTCGAAAATGTTATTAACGAGAACGAAAATGGTATTACCTTTAAGCTTGTTGAAGACCCATTTTGCTTTCTCTTCAACAGTACTTGAGAAAGTCTGAAAAAAAGAAGAAAATGAAGCATTATTATGTTTCCAATTTCAGGCAATGGAACAATACAACTAAGTGCTTCAAACACAAGACAGAGAAGGATACTTATAAATCATGTTATTTAAGTACTGAATCAACATGAACATTATGTTTCCAACTTAAGTATTGAATCAAACATTAACATTCTGTTTCTAAATTAAGGCAACAGAACAATACAATTATGTGCAAATCTCAGATAAATAGCAAAGCACAACGAACAAAAGACGCAGAAGCCTAAGCATCTATCTATGAATCATGTTAGTTAAGTACTGAATCATTGAGATAAATCCAATTACAGAATTTAAAAAAAAAAAGGTAAAATTGTGTAAATGATATCAACTCAAGAACACAAGATCCTGTAAACTAGTTTGCATAATATGTTTCCTTGTTGATTAATGTAGGGATCACTTAGCTCAAGAAACATCACATGAACACATGATTGCCAATAAAAGAAATAAAAATCATATTTTCCAGTAAAAATCGACTTAACTGGTAACTCGAAATTGAGGATAAATTTTAGTTGAGAGACTCTACAATGGGTTTTTTTCATAAACATGAGCTGAATTTCAGAATTGGTTATTGATTCTACATCAACTTGCTAAAATTGGAGATTGATGGATCAAAATTTCAAAGTAAATATGACTCCGTGTCAACGATTTATAGGTCAATTTCGAGGTTCGTTTAGCGAAATTCATCTCAGATCTTGCTAGATCTATGATTCTCTCTACAATTTCGAAACATCCACTACACGAGATTTCAATAAACAGAAAGGCTTCAAAACCAACGGAATCACATTACACGAAATGTAACCAAAGACATCAATTTCACAAAGGAAACGCATGCAAAAATCCAGAAAAAATGAACATGAGAGACAAAGCAAAGAGAAGATCCAGACTGAAGGAGCACTTACAGTGAGGTCATTGGTGATGTTTGAGAGCTCTTCCTTGGCTTTCTTCGAGAACCATGAACCTCCGACTTTGAAGCTCGTCACTTTCGTTAACGCCTTCTCCATTTTTTTCTCTCGGAGTGTGAAGACAAAAAGTAACAGAGCAGAGTGATAGCTGCGGCGACGCACAATTTTCCATAGCCAACAGAAATAGTTCGAACAAATACGGAACGAGGGACGTTTTCGTCATTTCTGCATCTACTTTTTTTGGTTTTTCAATTACTTTCCGCTATTTTTGGCTAAATTTCAAATTACGAAAGTGTTTACATATTAAACCGTTCTAAAATGAATTTGAAATTGCTATATTAAAGTTGAAACAAAACAAAATATTTACTTGAAGTTAAAAGTCGAAAATATTAAAATAGAGTGCAAGCTTAGTTTCAACGCCAAGATTTGATTGGCCAATGACAAAATGCGATGGGACCCAATAAGACCACATATAAAGTACGCAGCACATAACTGATAATAATTTTATTTTTACTAATCACCTTGTTTCATGGCCAGAATTTTGAAATCTCTGCCAAGATGGTTGAGCTGTGCCCTCAACATACCAAATGGTTAGATTTAGAGAACAGATATGGAAACTGACTTAATTCATTAAAGGATAACAATGGCTATAGAAGCCTTACAGAACGTGAAACAACTACTCCTAGAAAGTGGCAAACGTGGTCTAACACATGACCGCACTTGACTGAAAATTCCTAAATAACAGGATACTTAACTAAGACAGTAAGACTAAACCTTATCAGAAGCTATATAACTTTGAATATACAAAAATTTACTTGTAACTGTTTTTCAAAATTGGAGATATTGGTTTTGATGGAGTGTAAACAGACCAGTTGTCTTCTCAATCCTTTTGAGGATCTCCAGGAACGAGAGCCTCCTGGTTCATGCAACGACCAGTTGCTACTATAACTCTCTTGACCTCCGTAACAACCTCCTTGATAAAATCGGCTTCAGAGCTGTCCACAAAAGTAGATATAACGCATTGAAAAAAAAAAAAAAAAAACTCACGGTTCCTCTTGTCTGAATAAAAGAGCAAAGATGAATGAGTGTGAGTGGGAAGTAGGAACCTCTTGTCTTTCAAAGACAAGCCCATCTTGTTGGAGATATATTTCAAGGCATCCATCCACTTCTTGATCTGATCTCCACTAGACTTTTTAGCGAGAGTCCAGAAGTTGTCACCAAACTCACCCGTCAGCCTCCTAACGTCTCTTGCGCTCACTTTGTAGAAGATTGGAATGATTTGGAGCTTTCCTTGATCCGCAAGTTCCTTCAGCTTCGCCGACTCGTCCATGCACCATCTCGATTCCGAAAACCTGGTTGAGATGATGGCCAGGGCGATGCTCGACTCTTGGAATCTTACAAAGATATTTTCGAGATCTGTGCCTCTCTGCTCCTTTTTGTCTACGAAGTAGTTGACCCGGTGCCTGTCAAAGGCATCAGTGACGTGGCTAACGAAGTTGCATCCCACATGGTCTCCCCGGTAAATGATGGCCACTTGTTGAGTCACGTTAGCCGTGGCGGTGTTGTGCAGATTGTTTGGTCTTAGCTGATGGCTGCTGGTTCTAGCAGCTGGAACGTCGTGGTTATGTTTCCCTTCGTATGTGGCACGCTTATAGCAGATCCTATGAATAGATCAAAGAGAGTGTTAGGGTAAAAATACTGATCTGAATATATATAAATTAAAGCTCGAAGATGACCGGCTTTCAGTCTCACCTCCTATAAGGTTCATCAAAGAGATCATCTTTTGTCACCATCCTATGCGATGAAGGAGGAGGTTTTGAATCCCGGACATGTGTATCAAAGATTGTCTCAATCTCATCAGAGAAAAAAAAAAGGTCATGAGAGATGAATGTAAAGAGGAAGAATAGTCACATGTCTTGTAAGTTTCTGTTTTTTATTTACCTTCTCTTGGGATCAGGCTCATCATCGTGTTTTTCTGCATTACGGACCTCCTCGCTATCACTTGCTACATACATCTGGTTTGTCGTTGTTGTTTCATGGTCTCTCTTGGTCTTGTTGAGACTGCTACTGTTACTGGTTTGATGAGTCTGACTTGCAATATCACAACTTTTGGAACTCCCGTTATCATTGTTTCCGCTCTTATTGTTGTGAGGAGGCTCGTGATTGTGATCACCCTTGTAGATGATTGCAGTTACTTGTCCATAGAGAGACCTCTCCACTTTCTTCTTCACATGACACGAGGGATGCGTGCATTTGTAATAAATCCGAGGGAATTCGCTTCCTTTCACTTGCTTCTGCCCGTATTTCCGCCAGTTGTATTCATCATCAGCTTGAAATATCAAGCGACTCTGCTTATAGGGTTGTCTAGCTAGCGATAACAAATAGCATTTTTGGCGATTAAATATAGACACGGGTTCTAGCTCGGATGAATCTTGAACCAGGGGAATCTGGTACCGATGCAGAGGAGAAAACGATGGAAGCTCAGGCTCAATCAATGAAGTTTGTCGTTGTTCTGTATAGGGAGGAGATTCGGCTTGCGATTGCGTATGGACAGTATTGCCTTGGACTGCTTGTGCAGTGACTTGTGCTAACTCTTGTTGCTGCGTCATACCAAATGACCCCCTTGAATACATAGAAAGATTTGAGATGTGGCAAAAAAGAGGGGTCAGAGATACAATACAAATGATCATTTCTACCAAAAAAAAAAATATATATATATATATAGAAATGATCATTAAAGTTGAGTTCAGAGAGTTGAGCTGATCTGCAAATGATTTAAACAACACTTTTTGAGCTTACCCTACTGTAGGAATTCACACCGTTTATGGCAGCTTTACTAAATTAAAGATTTTAGAGTTTTTTTAATATACCTCGATATTCACCAGGGAAGGATTCAGGAGAACTGAGTTTTTCTCTGTCTCGCCGCTTTAGTTTGTGGTAGCCATACGTCACCCTTCCTTGCTTTTATACGATGAATACACAAAACCTAACTCAATTATGTAATGGGCTAAATAGTATATGCCCACTGGAGTCCTTTTATATAATGAATACACACACTTATTCATTCCGAATGAGAGAATTTCGAATTATTCAACATACAGTCTCGAAATTTTCCGCCGTAAATGTGTACCAGTGAATTTTTCGCCATTACTTTTTCATCGAAAGATAACTCAAAAATCCCCCACCCCTACCAAAATGAGGCACCGCACATTTTCTACGTGATTTTAGAAGTTATGATGATTTCCATTAAAAAATGATCAAAATGAACGAAAAAAATCTAATAACGATTTGAAGGTCTTGAACTCTTAATGGGTTAAACTTTATCGTATTGTTTAGTTAGAAAACTAAATCCAAATAAAGAGTTTCTTACTATGTATCAAAACATTTAAGCCATACGAACTTAATTAGGATCAAAGAATTTACTCAGACAATTTCTGTCAATAAAAAATAATTCAAAGCAAACAAAAGATTTAAGAAAATTTAAGCAAATCAAACTTCAAGTGATGGAGAAGGTAAACAGAAATATTCATTACATATTTATGTCAAAAATCCGATTTCCCTAATTTTTTGCCAAACGTAAATTTGCAAACTTTAAAAATGATAAGTAAATAGGGAAAAAAACAGAGATTAAACCCGCATTTTTAAAACTGATTATTGAAAAAAAAATGACATATATCGCAAACAATTTCATAAAGTAGGATAAACACACAACATAGTCCAATAATATATAGGAAACAAAACCCCATAAAATAACGTGAAACAAAACATCAAAAATAAAAATAGAATACATATTCTTTACACTTTCAACATCTTTTATCTGAATTTCACAACAAATTTAATGAACATAGTAGTTAAGTAAAAGTCCACAAAAAAAAACATAAGCTTTGTATAAATTATTTCCAAAATCAGATAAAAATTATAAATACTCCCATGGCGTCGTGCATGTCACGTTCCTAGTTTTAGTTCAGATCATATCCACAAAACATCTTATTATATAAAGCTGGATGAGCACGACGTGGTTGCGACACGTAGGATTTTTATAAAATTTAGGATTACGACATGTGTCACTTTTAATGTTATGTCCGTTAAGATCGTGACATGTATCTTAGGTAAAAGGAACAAAATAATAATTAAAAAAATTTAGATAAAGAAAAAAAAAACGAAATTTTAATCTTTTATAGTTAAAAGAAAAAAAATTTATATTTTGTCATATCCTAATAGAAAAAAGTTTCTCATTCATCAAATTTATATTATCCAAACACATATAAGATTCAAAATGAAATAAATAAAATTCTATTAGTACATGAAATAGGTTAGATTTAGTTAATCTTTTATAGTTAAAAGAAAAAAAATTATATTTGTCATATCCTAATAGAAAAAGATTTTTCATTCATCAAATTTATATTATCCAAACACATATAAGATTCAAATTAATGAAATAAATAAAATCCTATTAGTACATGAAATAGGTTTGAATAATATAAATTTGATGAATGAAAAACCTTTTTCTATTAGGATATGACAAATATAATTTTTTTTCTTTTAACTATAAAAGATTAACTAAACATAACAGGTAAACTAAATTTTCTATAACTGCATGGAATAAGTTACATAAACCCCTATAAAAAGAGAGTTAAAGTAGTCTTTTTTTTTCTCATTCACAAACTCATCAAAGCAAACAACATGATAGCAATACATATGATTTTTATAACTCACAAAATTGTGATATCTGTAATAAAATAATGATAATAAAAAAACTAACTAATAATGAAAATGAAAATTTATAATGGTCTGAGTCAAAAACAAAATTGAAAAAGAAACAATATAAATAAAAAATTAACAAATAATTATCAAGCAACTAAGTAATATTAAGAAAAAATAATGATAATAAAAAAACTAACTAATAATGAAATTGAAAATTTATAATGGTCTGTGTCAAAAACAAAATTGAAAAAGAAACAATATAAATAGAAAACTAACAAATTAACTATCAAGCAACTAACTAATATTAAGAAAATATAATGAACCGATATTATAATTTTAAATAGTTTAATATATTTTCAATATTGTTAGGTAAAAAATTATTAAATAAAGATTTCAACAATTGAAATCTCTTGAATGGAATAATAAAGTTTTGTTGAATTAATTAATCAGTTGATCATATTTAGACATATATAAGTTGATAAAAATAAAATAAAACAAATTAATTCATCTTTTATATCATGAATTCAAAAAAAATATCAATTACAATAAAAACGTAAAAAGGTTACCGATCTTATTTTATTTAAATATTTTTATCGGTTTTTAATATTATTCTGTTTACTTTAAAATGATCAAATTTGGTTTAATACTTTTCTATGATTTTATTACAAAATCTTAAAATAAACCCGCCTATACGCGAGTCTTAATCTAATCTAGTACCAGTACCCGTATAAACACACACAAAAAGTATTAAAAAAATATATCTTTATGCTAATTAAACGAATGTTCACTTAATCAACCGTTCATCTCCATAAAAGATTTAGCTTTCATGTATGCTTTGTTCATATATTTCCTAAACCTATTCACATCGAGTCTAACATCTTGCTCTTTCAAATAAACCTTCATTCTAGTCACATTCCAATCCATTCCTCTAAAAGCTATAGGATCTTTCAAAACCAAATCATCTCTACTATACTTATCTACCAAACTACTCTCTTCAACATTCACCCGATACTCAATATACTCCAACTTCATCGCCTTAGCCGGCGATTCATAGCACGTTTTAGCGGCCCAACCTAATCCAATCGGAACAACTTGGACAAAGACTGAACCGGGTCTAAGAAACAACAAATGGGTTAGTGCTGCACCATGAACCCCAACCATCCCGTGGCTCGTGGCTCGACTTCATAAGTTTATACGCTTCTCTCATACTCGTCTGTTTCGTTGGTCTAAATGTGATTACCTCGAACCCAACATCTTCAAGCATCTCTCTGGTCTCCTTCTCGTTTAATATCACACGACCAATGTTGCCATATCGACTGACTAATATGAGACGAGGCTTATTAGTGGAGAGGCTTGTGTTGAAGAAGAAGGCTGTGTCTAACAAGTTGTGGAAGTCCACTAATGATTTGGAATTGGATACTTGGGTTGGGTCTTTTGTCATGGGCTCATGTGAAATAAGGCCCACAACAGCTGAAGGGAAGCAATGTGTGATAGAAGAAGCATTTTCTTTGTCTAATAACAATATGGTTTTGTGTTTGCTAAACGCACCTAAAAGATCGATGTATTTTGGCATCCACCACTCCTTAGGATTCACCACCACGAGGATAACATCACGATCGGGAAAATACGAATTGGCGGTCATGAAAAGCGGAATGAAACCGTCGATGAAGTCGTGGTAGATGCTTCCGGTGTAACCTCCGGCGCTGAACACAATCGCCGGCGAGTCATGTGTTATGTCACATGATCGAACCAGGGTCAATGGACCTGAGGTTAGTGTTAGCTCTTTGATCGTAGACATGACCCAGTCCTCTGCTTTTCTTGGGTATGGCCTGATCTTCTCGACAAATGTGGTTAATGTGGGGTCCATGAGTGTGAAGGTTCCGGTTTTCGGGTCTAGATGACAGGAGCCGTTGATTGAACAGACATCGTAGTTAACGTGAGATAGGTCGCATGTGATCGTCGCTGAAGTCATCTCTTGAGGGGCCTTTGCGATTCTTCTGGACTCCCATGTTGGTTGTAACATGCCTGAAAATGTAAACTTCGTTGTTATCAATAAGTACTTTGTATGCATGCATCTTTTTCAAACTACTTTCTTTTGATCTTTATGACTAAAAATGTTATAGCTTTGTAATTTACTTTTCTTGCAATTGAAAAGGAAAAAAAAAAACATTACTGTTATAGTTTTTTGTAAAAAGGGTTTGACCGTAGATACTAAAGAAAAGAAGTAGTTTGCTATTTGACATACCTTGAGAGAAACGTAGCGAACGAATCGACTGAAGTTCGGAGTCATCGGGAACGGAGGAGATGAGAACAAGATACAAAACCAGACCGACGATCAAGGCAACTGCTGCCACAGAATAACTCTTCGACGTCGTTTTCATAACCATGATATGATCTCAGTGTCTAGTAATTCACTGGGTGCCTGGGTGGGGAAGATTCACAAAATGCAATCGAGAGAGTATATATAATATATAAATTTTATGATGAAGACTTTTCTCACATAATAACCCTTTTTAAAACTGTCTGCCTACACTCAAAAGATATCAAAACTTTAAACAAACAAAAATTAGTTCATTAAAAGAGTTCCGAGACGAGCAATGCTGATGCATGTGAATACTTTGATAGAACATACAATAAAATAAGCAACGGAGTGTATGTTTACAGCCCTTTTTTTCGTAACGGATGTTTACAGCAATTAATATATTCTACTCATTTATTTTTGTTTGCTATATCATAAACTTCGACATACCGAGCGTTATTTTCTTCTTGAGGTATTGGTACTACGACATACCATGATTAAACTATGAAATATTGATTTTTTAAAATATATCATTAAAAAAACAATAGAAAATTAAATGATTAAATGATTTGAGAAAAAAAGACAATAGACAATTTATCAAACATAGCCGCACTAAAAACCATGGTCCTAGAAACAATCACGAACGAAGTTAGTTGATACTCGAATGAAAAAGAATCATTTTTTTTTTGAACAACATTTATTAAAACCAAGGTTTTTCAACTACAAGGTGGGTCCCGCAGGAGCACTGAACCGACTAAACTCTCTTTTGCGATCTTGGCAATAGCATCAGCTTGAGAGTTTTCAGATCTAGAAACATATCGAAACGAAATTGAAGAGAACATTGAAGCAAGAGTGTAAATATCAAAGATGAGACCATAGATCTTCTTGATTTTCTCCTGCGAATTGATTGCTCGAACGAGATAAAAACTTCTCACTCTATAGTTCGAAAATCCAAAACAAAATAAACGTCAAATCAACGGTCTATGTCCATAAAAGATTTAGCTTTCTCGTATGCTTTGTTCATACGTTTCGTAAACCGATTCACATTGAGTCTAACATCTTGTTCTTTTAGATAAACATTCATTCTAGTCACATTCCAACCCAAACCTCTAAAAGCTATAGGATCTCTCAAAACCAAATCATCTCTACTATATTTCTCTACCAAACTACTTTCTCCCACATTCACCGAATACTCAATATACTCCAACTTCATTGCCTTAGCCGGTTTTTCGAAACACGTATTAGCCGCCCAATCTAGCCCAACCGGAACAACCTGAACAAACACTAAACCGGGTCTAAGAAACAAGAAATGAGTTAGTGCCGCACCATGAACGCCAACCATAGCGTGGCTCGACTTTATAAGTTTATACGCTTCTCTCAAACTCGTCTTTTTCGATGGTCTAAATGTGATTACCTCGAATCCAACATCTTCAAGCATCTCTTTGACCTCCTTCTCGTTTAATATCACACGACTAACGTTACCATATCGACTGACAAATATGAGACGAGGCTTGTTGGTTTTGAGAGTAGATATGTTCGTTTTGAAGGCTTTGTCTAAAAGATTGTGGAAGTCCACCAATGATTTGGAGTTGGGTATTTGGCTTGGGTTCACTCTCATGTGCCCATGTGAAATAAGGCCCACAACAGCTGAAGGGAAGCAATGTGTGATAGAAGAAGCATTTTCTTTGTCTAGTAATAATATGGTTTTGTGTTTGCTAAACGCACCTAGAAGATCGACGTATTTTGGCATCCACCACTCCTTAGGATCCACTACCACGAGGATGAAATCACGGTCGGGGAAATACGAATTGGCGGTAATGAATAGCGGAATGAAACAGTCGATGAAATCGTGATATATGCTTCCGGTGTACCCTCCGGCGCTGAATACAACCGCCGGCGAATCATGTGTTATGTCGCATGATCGGAGCAAGGTGAGGTCCAATGGGCCTGAGGTTAGTGTTAGCTCTTTGATCATAGACATGACCCATTCGTCTCCTTTTCTTGCGTATGGCCTGATCTTCTCGACAAAAGGTGCTGATGTGGCGAAGGTGGGGTCCATGAGAGTGAAAGTTCCGGTTTTGGTGTCGAGATTGCAGGAGCCGTTTATTGAGCAGACATCGTAGTTAGTGTGAGATCGGTCGCATGTGATTGCTGCGGAAGTCATGTCATGTGGGGCCTGTTCTGTTCTTGTGCCTTAAAGACGAATCGAAGGATCAGAGACAACATACACTATAGTTCGATTTATATCAACGATTTGTATGCTTATGCATCTCTCTCGAATTAGTTTCTTTATCTTAAAATCTCACTGACTATAAATTTTCTTTTTGGTATGAATGTTACTCTGACTACTAAATTTATAGCTTTGTAATTAACTTTCCATGCTATTTATTATAGAAAAATCTTTGTCTAAAAAAAATACTAAAATACTAATGTTATTATTTTTTGTAAAAAGGGTTGATACTAAACAAGTAGAAGTGTTTTGATATTTGGCATACCTTGAGAGAAACGTAGCGAACGAATCAACTGAAGAACGGAGTCATTGGACACGGAGGAGAAGAGACCAAGAAACATAACCAGAACGATGACCAAGGCAGCTACTGCTACGGAATAACTCTTCGACGTCGTTTTCATTATGTACTCTCAGTGTCTATAAATTGAAGTTAAATAAAATATCTCCCCTCGAAGCTTTAAGTATCCTTCAATGGAAGGGGAGAGGAGAAAACGTTGTAGTAATTTCCTGAGTGAGGAAGATTCACAAAATGCAAACGAGAGAGTGTAATATATATTCCAAACAAATTGTGATGAAGACTTTTCTCACATAATAATCATTTTTTAATTGTCTACTAAGAGTAATTAATAATTAAATTAATTAAACCCTTAAACATGCAAAAAACAATTCATTAATTAAAGAGTCCCGATACCGAGACAATCAATGCTGATGCATGTGAACTCTTTGATATTTAAATACTGTATAATCTCTCTATGTTTACGCCTTTACGACCATTTTTTTCTTTCTTGTAACGTAATTATCAAACATACACGCACAAACACTCGAATAAAAACAAAAGAAACTTTTTTACTCTACAATTCGAAAACCCAAAAAACATAAACGTCAAATCAGTGGTTTATGTCCATAAAAGATTTAGCTTTCTCGTATGCTTTGTTCATACGTTTCCTGAACAGATTCACATCAAGTCTAACATCTTGTTCTTTCAAATATACATTCATTCTAGTGACATTCCAACCCAAACCTCTAAAAGCTATAGGATCTTTTAAAACTAAATCATCTCTACTATATTTCTCCACCAAACTACTTTCTCCCACGTTCACCGAGTACTCAATATATTCCAACTTCATTGCCTTAGCCGGTTTTTCGAAACAAGTTTTAGCCACCCAACCTAGTCCAACCGGAACAATCTGAACCAACACTGAACCGGGTCTAAGAAACAAGAAATGAGTTAGTGCTGCACCATGAACGCCGACCATTACGTGGCTCGACTTTATAAGTTTATACGCTTTTCTCAAACTCGTCTTTTTCGATGGTCTAAATGTGATTACCTCGAATCCAACATCTTCAAGCATCTCTTTGATCTCCTTCTCGTTTAATATCACACGACCAACGGTACCATATCGACTGACAAATATAAGACGAGGCTTGTTGGTTTTGAGAGTAGATATGTTTGTGTTGAAGGCTTTGTCTAAGAGATTGTGGAAATCTACTAATGATTTGGAGTTGGATATTTGGGTTGGGTCTACTGTCATGGGCCCATGTGAAATTAGGCCCACAGTAGCTGAAGGGAAACAATGTGTAAGAGAAGAAGCATTTTCTTTGTCTAGTAATAGTATGGTTTTGTGTTTGCTAAACGCACCCAGAAGATCGATGTATTTTGACATCCACCACTCTTTCGAGTCAACTACCGCAAGGATGAAATCACGGTTGGGGAAGATCGTGTTGACGGTAATGAAAAGCGGAATGAAACCGTCGATGAAATCGTGATATATGCTTCCGGTGTAACCTCCGGCACTGAACACAATCGCCGGTGAATCATGTGTTACGTCACATGATCGTGAAAGACTCAATGGGCCTGAGGTTAGTGTTAGCTCTTTGATTTCAGGCATGACCCACTTATCTGTTTTTCTTGGGTATGGCTTGATTTTCTCGACAGATGGTGCTGATGTGGGGTCTATCAGAGTGAAAGTTCCTGTTTTTGGGTTGAGATTACAGGAGCCGTTGATTGAGCAGACATCGTAGATGGTGTGGGATCGGTCACATGTGATTGATGCTGAAGTCATCTCTTGTGGGGCCTGCTCAATTCTTCTGGATACCGATGTTTGTTGTAACGTGCCTGCAGTGGAAACTTCTTTTTAATATAATAGTGGACATTTGTAGTTGATTTTAAGTTTTTAACAATAAACTTTTATGGTTTTTTGCTAAAAGTGTTTTAAGGTCTGAGAAGTAATGAAAATCCAGTGTTTTAAGTTCTAAGGTCTCACTACATAACTAACTAAGAATCATCATGGTTTTGCTAAAAGTGTTTTAAGAGTTTTTGGTATAAAAATCCAGTTTAATTTACTCACAATAACACAATAGCTAATACTAGTGCCCGGTCAAAAATGTATCACTATAGATTACTGCAATATATTGAAAATAGAAGCCAAGTTTGAGACTAGTAGGTTGGTCAAGAAATGCAGAGTATAAAATTTAACCAAAAAAATAATAATAAATGAATAACCCTTCATGTGCGTAATAAGATTATTTTATGTTCGAGACTGACACGAAATTGAATTCTTACTATTTTTGGTAATACTTATGTGTAGATCTCTATACTCGTATTAACTATTACCTGACCACTCTTTATTTTAATTCATCAAAAAATCTCACGGAACAAACAAATACGATCAAAAATCAAAATACAAAAAAAATCATATCGTTTTAACTTATTTTAATTAGTTTGAATTTTAGTGTTATGTTGTGTTAGCATTCGGATGTAAACCAGTGTGACTTATTAGTGTTTAGAAAAAATCCAGCGAGTTATTAGTAAAAGATTATGCTTCCTGTAGAGAAACCTACACAATTACTTTTTCTTTTTGGTAAAAAAGAGTTTGATCGCCGATTCTAAAGAAGAAGAAGTTTGGTTTGATATTTGACATACCTTGAGTGAAACTTAGCGAAGGAATCAACTGAAGACCGGAGTCGTCGGACAAGGAGGAGAAGAGAGCAAGATACATGACCAGAACGACGGCCAAGGCAACTGCTGCCACCGGATAACTCTTCCGCGTCGTTTTCAGAACCATGATGATTCTTTGTTGGTTGTGTAGTGAAAAATATATAGCAAGTTTTTATATAGAAATGTATATGTATATAATTCTATCTATGCTCTATAAACTGAACTTAATAAAACCTTGTCCCTTGAAGTTTCAAGTATCCTTCAATGGAGAAGAAAAGAAGAAATATATTTGAAGAAGATTCAGAAAATGCCAACGAGAGTATATAATTATTAAAATACATGGATGCTTTCTCTCAGAGTGACAGAACCGTTTCTTAAATTGTCTACCGTAAAACAAGACTACTAATATTTTAGGTAACTAAACCTTTAACGGAAAAAACAATTTTATCAAATATATAAAGAATCTTAAAATAAGAAATGCACTGATGCATGGGAATACTATAATAGAACAAATACTTAATAACATATCTCAAATAGAGTGAACGTTTTAAAGCTGTTTACTTTTTTCTTGTCGTGTTTTGCTATACCACAACTTCGACTGATCTTACACATCTCTACTATGAAGTAACCAATGAAAGAGATAGATTTTCAAAAGTAATTACATAGTTTTATATAACACCATTTTTCTTTTTGGATCCAACTCAGCATGATTAAACTATGAAATTTAATTGAAGTTATATTCATGGGATCTACATCAAAATTGTCAATTTTTGTTGTTGTTAAACACTTTCCTCCTCTAAAATGTGAAGTTGTGAACAACACTAAAAAATAATAAATAAACAGGCCTTAGCTCATTAGTATCTATAAAACGCTGGCCCATTTAAAGCCCATTATTTTCAATTTCTTCGTTAGAAAGACCACAGATATCTGGCGGGAAGAGCCACACCGCCGGTAAATTGTGAACGGCGAAGTCCGATGCGACGCTCCATCTCTCTCATACCCCAACGGGTGTCTCCGATTATAAGATTTTCGTTTCCGCAGAGATGCGTCCCATTTACAACAATCCAAAAACTGATTTTACCCGAAGACAATTACGAATCCACGACTTCCCAACACTACGCCGCTTCGAGCCCGTGCTTTCTCCTTTTAAGCAAGTGCACGAACATCGATTCTCTGAGGAAAGCTCACGGGCTATTAACCGGAAATGGACTTATGGATGATCTCTCGTGCGCCACGAAGCTCGTGAGTCTGTACGGTTCCATTGGGTATACTAAAGATGCCCGCTTGGTGTTCGATCAAATTCCCAAGCCAGATTTTTATTCATGTAAAGTCATGCTCGGATGTTACGTCTTGAACAAAGAGAGTCTCGAAGTCATAAACTTTTACGGGTTTGAGTGGAAACACGGTTATAATGATATCGTTTTCTCGAAAGCTTTGAAAGCGTGTACCGAGCTGCAGGATTTGGAGAATGGGGAGAAGATACATTGCCAGATTTTTAAAGTGGCAAGTCCAGATAATATTGTGTTGACAGGTCTTCTTGATATGTACGCTAAGTGTGGAGATGTCAAGAGTGCTCATAGAGTGTTTGAAGAGCTTACGTTGAGAAATGTGGTTTCTTGGACTTCGATGATTGCTGGGTATGTGAAAAACGACTTGCAGCGAGAAGGGTTGTGTTTGTTTAATCGGATGAGGGAAGAATCTGTTTCGGGGAATGAAGTTACGTACGGTGTTCTAGTGACGGCTTGCACAAAGCTCGGTGCTTTACATCAAGGGAAGTGGTTCCATGGTTGTTTGATCAAGAGCGGCATTGAGCTAAGCTCATGCTTGGTGACATCTTTGCTAGACATGTACGTCAAGTGTGGTGATATAAACAATGCACGGCGAGTGTTCAGTGAGCATTCTCATGTGGATCTCGTCATGTGGACAGCTATGATTGTGGGGTTGACGCATAACGGAAGAGCCAACGAGGCTCTGAGCTTGTTTCAGAGAATGAAAGGAGTTGGAATCAAGGCTAATTGTGTTACCATTGCTAGTGTCTTACCTGGTTGCGGTCTGGTTGGGAATCTTGAACTGGGAAGATCAATTCATGGCCTATCAATCAAAGTCGGTCTTTGGGACACAAATGTTGCAAATGCTCTGGTTCACATGTATGCCAAGTGTTGCCAGAATAGAGATGCTAGGTATGTGTTTGAAATGGAGTCGGAGAAAGACCTCGTTGCTTGGAATTCTATAATTTCAGGGTTTTCACAGAACGGCTCTGTACATGAAGCTTTGTTCCTGTTCCATCTCATGAATTCAGAATCATCCGTGACGCCTAATGGTGTAACAGTTGCGAGTCTCTTCTCAGCCTGCGCTTCTCTCGGGTCTCTTGCCATAGGTTCCTCGCTTCATGCTTATTCACTGAAACTTGGTTTCTTGGCATCGTCAAGTGTTCATGTTGGTACTGCACTCCTGGACTTCTATGCCAAATGTGGGGATGCCGAATCTGCTCGTGCTGTTTTCGATACCATAGAGGAGAAAAACACAATCACATGGAGCGCTATGATCGGAGGCTATGGAAAGCAAGGGGATACAAAAGGGTCCGTTGAGCTATTTGAAGAGATGCTCAAAAGGGAACAAAAACCGACCGAATCAACCTTCACATCCATTTTATCAGCTTGTAGTCACACAGGGATGGTTGATGAAGGGAAGAAGTACTTCAGCTCAATGTACAAAGATTACAACTTCACGCCTTCGACTAAACACTACACGTGTATGATTGATATGCTAGCTCGAGCAGGTGAGCTTGAGCAAGCCTTGGACGTCATCGAGAAGATGCCGATTCAACCAGACGTGAGATGTTTCGCAGCGTTTCTCCACGGATGTGGAATGCATTCAAGATTTGATCTTGGGGAGGTTGTGATCAAGAAGATGCTGGATTTGCATCCTGATGACGCCTCTTATTATGTCCTTGTGTGTAATTTGTATGCGTCGGATGGAAGATGGAGTCAGGCTAAAGAAGTCAGAAATCTGATGAAGCAAAGAGGTCTTAGCAAGATCGCAGGACACAGCATGATGGAATCAGAGTTCTCAGCTATTGGTTAGTTAGTCACAGCTTTTCTAGATTATAAAAGAAGCATATATATATACACAAAGGCCAAAGCATTCTTGGATAAAGTCGATATGTTTTAGTGTACAGAGCAAGAATAGTTGTGCTGACTAAATCTACAAGGATATATAACATAACCAACCGAGAACAGCTCTAAGCTATGCCAGATTCTTCTTGCTTTGTTGTGTGGTGTCTGAGCTTTCATCTTAATCGTCGTCTTGTGAATCAAAAGGGACCTCATGCCGGGGTTTGTTGTACTTCTCACGAAGTTGTTGGATTGGGATGAAGTCTCCAGCTGTGTCGGCTCCATAGAAGAGGAAAGAAATGTACGGATGATCAAACCTTTCCTGCAGAAACCACACACAACCATGGGTCAAAAGCTATTTCAATGGGGGATGGGATTATCCACAACAAGTCTGCTTCACCTTGTCAGGTTTCTCTAGAGCTAATAGGTTGTCTTCAGGAACTGCAATTTACTGGTTAATGTTGTGCAACTGCTGAAATTCATGGTTTATAGCTACTGGAATTGAATATTTTTGGAGCTTACCATATGCTACTAGTAGATCTGGGTGCGTGCGAACATCAACTAGAACCTGGTAGACAGACAGCAGCAAGAAGGTTTAGATATCATGTTTTCTTCTGTAGATATGAATTAAAACAGTCTTAAATGGTTTCTATGCATTTGAATACTCTCTAATTGTTAATTTCAGCTTCTCTTTCTTTCAACACAAGTCTTTATGAACATTGCTTATAACCAGAACCTGGTAAAATGGTTGATTGGATCCACGGGGCAACTTTTTAATCTCTGCAGCTTCCATCCAGGAGCTTGATTCACAGCAAATTGGATCCATCCCACAAACTACAGCCCGGTAACCTAAGTCAAATGAAAAGAAAATCAATGTTAGTTCCCTAAAATGAATGTAAACCAAAGTGAAACAAGCACTAATGATATATATATGACGACGTACCAAAAGTCTTGTGTCTAAGTTTCTGCCCCAAACGAAATGCATACTCTGCATTCTCAAAAGCCAAGGCTTTCGCAGATACAGCTAACGATTCTGCTTCAAGCTTTGAGATTTGATCTCGTAACTTAGCTGCCAAACCATAATCCTCACTGTCAATAGCATTCTGGAGATCTGCACTGCAATTTAATCAAATACTCCAATGTTTAGACACATACACACACACATACAGAGAGAAAATGTCTGAAAGTTATAACAAAATGAAACCGCTCACCGTAGTCTTATAATACTAATACCCTTGTCTTGAGCTTCACTCTTTGATGATGATCCTCTTTTCCCTTCTTGCAGCTTTATCGCCTCCTCTTCCACCTACCAATCACAGACCGTTATATACCGTTTCGTTGCAGTTTCGGTATACAAAAGAATACAAGTAAGTCCAACCAAAAGCTAACATCTTAGCATGTTCAAAAGTTCAATACTTTGACAAAACTTATCATTTCACATACCTCATTTAGCTTTTCTCTTAGTTGTTGCGCGACGTCGTACTGCTCCAGATTCAACGCATACTGCCAATTCCAAAAACACACCAAATGCGCATATTACATTCAATCTTGTCACACCTCAAAACCAGAAAATCCATTTCCGACCACTAACCTGCACACGAGTAGCCAAGTCTAGCTGAAAGAAGAAGATCAAAATATCTTCATTCGCACTTTCGCTTCGCTCAGAGCTCGGGTCTAGACCTTGGTCACTCTCTTGAAATGGCCATCTAGCTTCCACCTTCAACAGATTTCTTTGCTTTAACGACTTCCAAAGCCTTCCAAGTGACGATGACGACGATGATGATGGTGATCTACGTAAGAATTGACACGACGCGCATCGATCACTAATAAAGCCCGAAGCTTTCACCGAATTTAAACGATTCCTGTAAACTTGTACACTTCCACAGATTGTTAATGTGCTTAACGACTGACTTTGCACCATCTTTTTTTTGTTTCTTATCAAAACCCAAGTCTCACTTCCTCAATCCGATATTCCTTCTACAAAAAACCAACAAAGGACCAGAGAGAGGAAGTTCGTATTAGATTCCAAAATTAAGCCAAAGCACTTGACAAAATTGAAATGAACGGTGCGAAATTAAACTCCAGGAACTAGACGAGCAAAGAGAAACTCCGATTTCGACAGCGAAAAAGGGTGATAATCGAAAATTTTAAGAAACTTACCGGAAAGACTTTGCCGATCACTGGAGTAAACTCACCGGAACGAAGGAGAGTTTTCGTCCTCACAGATCGTTTCAAAGGCGTTGAAAGAGATTATCTTTTGTTATACTCTTGCTGGGCTATGAGGTCCAATTTAGGCCCAACAAAACAGTTCTTGTTTTTGATTTATTTTTGACGACGGTTTAGATTCCTTTTCTAAAGAAAGAAGAAGAAACGGTTTAGATACTATATAAATAAAAGGGATTTGCCGATTTGGTCAAATATCCCTGACCAAATCCGTTGTGTATCTTCCAATAATAAGCTTTTCAAATATATTATGCAGAAAATTCAAATATATTTTAATCTAATTATGCTCAGGACATCAAAGATTTCCTCAAACAAACCACACCGAAAATTAAGCGCGGCAAAATTAGCCAATCAAGACCCCCAATTTTAGGGTTGTCTCTTTCTTCTTCATTTCTCTCCCAAACCAGATTTCGAAAGATTTTCAGAGAAATCATGTTGATTTAACAGCGAAACCCCCCAAAAAAGCTCTGAAGAAACCCTAGACAGAAAGAGATATAGATAGAGAATGAGAGATATTTGGTTCCTTTGAATTTTTGAAATTTTTTGGATTGCTGTTAAAAACGAACAAAAAATAGGTGCGTGTGTCTCCAGGATCGGTGGTGCTATACGGCACGGAGGCTCCGACTTACCTCCGTCGTCAAAGCACCACCGTACACGGAGCCATCTACGCGTCGGATCCACCACCACCTCCGCCGACGAAGAAATCAGCATCACATTCAGCGGGAAGCTCAGCAGTTTCAGCGGAAACCTCGGAAACCATGGAAGCTCAAGGAGGATGAAAGGCCTCTTCAAGCAAAAGCCTCGCACTCCCGGCGAGATCGTCCGCCAGACTCGCGACCTCTTCGCGTTATCCGAATCTGAAGACGAAATCGACGTCACCAGAATCTCCCGGCGGCTAGGGGTCGTCGCGGAGATGTGCAGAAACATCAGGGATCTGAAATCGATCCTCTACGGCAACAGCGAGGCCGAGCCTGTCCCCGAAGCTTGCCTCTCCCTGACTCAAGAGTTTTTCAGAGAAGACACGCTTCGTCCGTTGATCAAATCTCTCCCGAAGCTAGACCTCGAGGCTCGGAAAGACGCCACGCAGATCGTGGCGAACCTCCAGAAGCAGCAGGTCGGGTCTCGACTCGTTGCTTCGGAGTATCTCGAATCGAATCTCGACGTGATCGATTCCTTAGTAGAAGGAATCGATCGAGATCATGAATTGGCGCTGCATTACACTGGGATGCTTAAAGAGTGCGTTCGTCATCAGGTTGTTGCGAAGTACATTCTCGAGTCGAAGAATCTCGAAAAGTTCTTCGATTACGTGCAGCTTCCTTATTTTGACGTGGCAACAGACGCGAGCAAGATCTTTCGAGAGCTTTTGACGAGGCACAAGTCGACTGTTTCAGAGTATCTAGCCAAGAACTACGAGTGGTTCTTCGCGAAATACAACACGAGGTTGCTTGAGAAAGGGAGCTATTTTACGAAGAGGCAGGCTTCGAAGCTTTTGGGTGACGTGTTGATGGACCGTTCGAATTCGGGTGTGATGGTGAAGTATGTGAGCAGTTTGGATAATTTGAGGATCATGATGAATCTTATGAGAGAGCCGACCAAGAACATTCAGCTTGAAGCTTTCCATGTGTTTAAGCTGTTTGTGGCGAACGAGGAGAAGCCGGAGGATATTGTGGCGATTCTTGTGGCGAACCGGATCAAGATTCTTCGTTTGTTTGCGGAGTTGAAACCTGAGAAGGAAGATTTAGGGTTTGAGGCTGATAAAGTACTAGTTGTGAATGAGATTGCTTCACTTTCTCTTATGGATCTGAGAATTGCCGATCCGTGATAAATGATGTTGTTGTTTTGTTCACGTTTGTTGTGTGCTTGTGTGTTTTTGCCTCTGTTTGGATTCGGATTGATAAATTAAACATTAGCATAGATTGATTATTCTCTAAAGCAAAGATACATAAATGTGATTTTCGATTTTTTTTTATTTAACGCCAGTCCTCTCTTTCAACATTGTGATGAATTTGTCTTTCTCTTCATCTGTCATTCCTGTGGTTGAGCAATCTCCTACTCCCCATTCTGCTCCTCTTAGACAGTACTTGTCTTGAATCAATCTTTCATTCCTACAACAAACAGAACACAAAACCAATGTAACATGTTTCAGAGTTTTGAGGTTTTACAGTTTTGGTTCTGTAACACTAGGAAATGAAATGGATTAAAAGGATGAGAATTATAGGTGAATGTTTACTTACTTTTCTTTGTTAAGTTTGGAATTCTCAAGGAGCTTCTTGAGAAGTGGAGATTCTTTGAATCTGGAATCGTTTTCAGCGTAGAACTTCTGGTTTTTGGCTGCAATTATTAATAAGCATTTTATCTTGAAGCAGACAGACGGAAGACTTTATATCATTCAAGAATTCAAGTATTTGAAAGACTGGTACCATTGAACTTGTCAAGGAATTCGAGCTTGGGTAATTCGGGACCGGGAATTGACTCTATACCGGGACTTCCCGACATTAAGCCTGCTTGAGCTGAGGAGGATCCAATCCAAATTTATACGAATTATGACGGTGATGTATATACGTTGAAAGACATGAAAATTGAGGAGATTGTAATTACCGGTACAAGGAGACAGGAGAAGGGTTAGTGAGGCAGCGAGAGGGAGTGTCGACTTGTAGAGAAGATGGTGAAACGGTAATGATGATGGTGATGATGATGATGATGATGGTAGAGCCATGGAGATTCGAGGACGATGAACTACTTTTGGTTCATGGAGAGTGAAGCTTGGTCCAGAGAGAGTAGAGATTTTGGTCTGCATCATTGCCTTCAGATTTTTTTGTGAGGACGGTAACTGATTTCGTAGATAGGAGATAAGAAGGGAAATTGCTAAATGCTTAATTTATTTATTTTTATTTTGTTTTGCTCACTTGTTTTCATGTTACCAAGAGCAATTAATTAGAGCTTTATTTGCAGATTGTGTCTACATTTCATATAAATTACTAATGCGACATGAGAAATTTTCGAGACAAGAACGTGAACTGATAAGAGAAACATGTTTAGAAAAATACAGAAACATCTTGCAAACAAAGAGTTTAACAAACTAATCACGACTATGAAAGTTAGTCTATGTTTATGGAATTTTATCATTCAAGCATAGCCTTAGCAGCATCGATAAGTGCAGGTCGAAACTCGATGGAAGCTCGGCCAAGAACCGTGTAGCCTTCTTTGTCTTCTACATCAACATCTGCACCATGCCTCACAAGCATAAACGCAACCTGGAGAAACCCAAAAGTGTTAAAAGATACTTCATATTTAGAGAGGAGATGCAACTTTATAGATTGGCAACATTTTTACCTGTCTGTCATCGCAGATCACTGAATGCATGAGTGGAGTCTGGCCCATTTTATCAACAGCATCGATCTCTGCTCCTTCTTCGATCAAGAACTCACACAGATCAGACTTACCCGTGCTTGCTGCCCTGTGAAGCGGTGTGCAACCAACCTTAAAGCCACAAGAAAACTGTTTTTATATGAGTAAACGCAGATTAATGAGTTGTCAAAGAGCAACAAAAGGAAGAATAAAAATAAGCTACAAAACCTTGTCAGTGATGTTAATCTTTGCACCGTGTGTCAGAAGAATCTGAGCGATTTGCAACCATCCTTTGCTAGCAGCATAGTGAAGAGCAGTGCGTCCACCGTTGTTCTTCGCATTAACATCAGCACCTGAACACACACACAAAATCAGCAAGTGTATCAATCTTCTCATAATTGCATCTTAAAAGGAATTGAAAGAGGAGCTAATTCGTAGAAGAACTAACACAGAAAACCCAAATAAACATATATGCAGTTCATGGAGGACTATCCTAGTACAAAGAAAGATATTGATCGGTCAATCTCATTAGGGAATTAAAAGAATAGCTAATATCACTAGAAGAAGAAGTAACACACTGCACAAAACCTACTTCAAAGACAAAGATCAGACATTCAGGTCGAACTTGAATCTAATGAGTGATGAGAAGATGACAACTTATTGGCAAGGAAATCAAAATTTCCTGTCTTTCAACAACGATAAGGCAAACAAGATTACAACAAACCTCTAGTCAATAACACTTCAACATACATGCAGTTCATGGAGGACTATCTTAGTATTTGATAAATTATCCGAGTAAATTTTCAAACTCGCGAGGGAAATGAAACATAGAGCAATAAGTAACACACAACACAAAACCTGCTTCAAACATTAACTATTCAGGTGAACTTTGAATCTGATGAGGAAAGATCACACAAGTTCTTGATAAGAAAATCAAGAAATTTCTCTCTTTCAAAAGCAATAAGGCAAAACTAGATTACACAACAAACCTCTAGTCAAGAGCACTTCAACGAGCTCAGCATTGCCGATGCTAGCAGCAGAATGAAGAGGAGCCCAGCCTTCATCATCCTTGCTGTTAATTACAGCCTTTGATTCTTCTGTACTTGATAGCATCTTCACTACCTGCAAATTCCACCACATCCATAAATTTTTTTTCAAAGAACCAAAATCCAAAATCGCTAACGAGTTTGCAACAATGCAGATTCTACTGAATATCATCCTAAGGTTTCTCATAGCTGCAGTAACGCAAAATTATCTCTGATTCCTTCGGATTCTAGAGGCTATGCTTGTATCTAGCGAAAAATTAGTAGTGGAGAAGAGGAAAAAAACCTCAGAACGGCCTAATGAAGCTGAGACATGGAGGAGAGAGCGACCGTCTTCGTTTCTGAAAGTCAGTGATTTTTGTAGCTGTTGAGGAGATAATGACATGAACACCGACGAATCGCCAGATTCCGCAGCTTTGAAGAGCTCTTCGTCTCTGATCTGCTTCGACTCTTGACCCTTCGCAGCATCGATTTCCATGGCGAGTTGTTGAGGATTTCGAATTCAGAGAAATTGAAAAGTGTAGTGTATAATAGACGACGAAAATACTTAATTAAAAATATTACAGTAAAATGTTAATTATCTGCCTCCTTGAGCACGACAAACAAAAACAGGAAACATTATGCAATTTTACACAACAAAAAGGCCCATGGGCTTCTAATAGTGGGCTCGTAATCGTATATGGGACCTTTATAATATTTTGGTTTTAATTCGAATAAATTCCATTTTTAACATAACAATCAGATCAGATTAATTCGGTCTGTTAGAATTCGATTTGAATATCTAGTATTAATGACTTCCCATAAATGACGCAATATCGAGAAAATTAGTCAACACTCAACATGATACTTTATTTTACATCAACATGATTCCAGACACAAGTAACACAACAGAGACCCAGTGGTTAATAATTCAGAAAACTTACTAGAAGGTAATCATGGTAGATAATTACCAACATAATTATTTTTTAATCTACTAATCGAACATTAATCACTTCATGAAACCTTGAGCCATCTTAGCATAGTCTCCAAATCCATGGCTACCACCTCCGGATTTATCATCCCCTTTCTTAGCCGCTGGTTCTCCAGCTCCACCTCCGTGGCTACCTCCGCCGGCTACACCGCCGTGAGTACCTCCGCCGGAGACACCGCCGGAGTTTTGGGAGTGTGAAGTTTCATACTTGTGGAGATAGTTTTCAGCCTTTTCGAGGTACGAACCAACACCGCTCTTTTCATCGAGCTTGCCGTATCTAGAAGCGGCGTCGAGGATATCGGCGGCGGCTCCGGCGACTTTAGCTTTGTCGAGTTTGTCTGATTCGTTACGAGCAGCGGCTTGAGCAGCTTCGGCTACAATCTTGGCGCTAGCCATGAGCTCAGCATTGGAAGCTGGCCTGTGTGCATTTGGATCGGCGCTGGAAGCTGGTTTATGGGTTGGATCGGCGCTGGAAACTGGTTTGTGGGTTGGATCGGTGTGACCGGGTTTGTTGTTGTTGTGGTTCGGATCGGATCCTGAATTCTCCGGTTTGTTGTCGGAGAATTTCTTCTTTAGTTGGTCGGAGAGAAAATCCATGTCTCTGATTTGTGTCAAAGAGAAAAGTTCGTTTTTGGTCTTGAATTTGGAAAATACACAATGAAAAAAAGTTTTCTGAGGGGATGATATTTATTGAAAATCAGAAAATTAGTTTTGTTCGTTGTCCACTAGTTTATTTTTGCCTTTTTCTTTATCCACTAGCTAATGTTTATTTTTCTTCTTTCCGTTTTTAACGGAGTATTTTTTTCATTTTTCTTTTTAACAAGGCCTCCCTTTATAACGGAGTTAATGGTATATTTATAGTCACGATTCTTGCGCCAAAGATTGGATCAGAACGTTATAATTACATTTCGACCATTAGTTGTTAAAAAAGGAGAACACTATGAGCTGAAATCCCGACCAATTTTAAAACGAAAACTATAGTATCAAAATTTCCATGATAGCATAAATTTTGAAAATAATTTCAAACTTCTTAATGATGGAAGAACTATAACTTTGAACCTGAAAATAAGACTTCAGAAATGTCTACGGATTTGTTTTGAAACCTTTTTTGTTTCTTGCATTTATTAGGCTTCAAAAGTCTACGGATTAGTTGCGTGAAGCATTGATGAGTGGCACGTAAAAATGGATCGGATGCCACGTTATATAGCCTATCTTTTCTCTAGTGCTTGGCTCGATCGTTAATTTTGTCGGCAGAGTAACTAATTTATGAGTTTCAAATTATAGCGGGCTTAGAATGGGTTTGCTATGGGCTACTGAAGAGAGCCTCTTCAATAGCTTATTCTGAGCCCAAGTTTGTTTGAATTATTGTATTCTTGAATTCATCGTAGAAAAGATGTCGTGAAGATGACCACACTTATATTGTTTTGTCTACAAGATGACCACATTCTTATGACAGAACAGAAGTGAACAAAGACAAGGTTCAAGAAGGAAACGAAGCTTTATATTAAGGAAAAAAATAAGAGGCAGTGGAACTAACTAAAGTGTGTAGAAGAGAAGAACAACAGGTGGTGAAATCTCAGAGGAGTGTCATGAGAACAGAGATCCTTTGGTTTCTTTAGATTTCGACTGAAACCATGGAGTTTTTGTTCTCAGGTCACCCCTTTGAATCTCCCCTGTTCTACAATTTCACCTTACTCCAGTGTGTATTTTTTTAGTTGTATATACACACATATTGATTGTTACGTATATCTAAATGTTTGATCCTCTGATTTGTGTATCAATAACTTAACATACTAGTAATGTCATCGAAGCCGACTTAGCTCAGTGGTAGAGCGCGTGACTTTTAATCCCGTGGTCGAGGGTTCGATCCCCTCAGTCGGCGATTTGATTTGATTTTGTTCTTTTTTTATAAAGAAATTGGTATACCATAATCTTTTGAAGGTACGAAGTCATAGATCAGGTGTTTGGTTATAAATGACTTCATAAACACTCCTTAAAAAGCTAAAGTGATTTATCACTACACCCGAACAAAAAACTAAAGTACCAATCAAATGACTCCAAACAAGTTGACTTTTTGACTAACCACCATCTCCGTCGTTCCCGCCACCGTCATCACACCATGATCGCCGTAAACTCTTTCTTCTTCTTCTTCTCATTCCTTTTCGTCTCCTCTGTTTATTCCAAAGTGACGATTTCATTTTCTCCCCAAACCCTCAATCGATCTGGCGACACCGTCGTGATCAAATGGTCCGGCGTCGAGTCACCGTCCGATCTCGACTGGCTAGGAATCTACTCTCCGCCGGAATCTCCTCACGATCACTTCATAGGCTACAAATTCCTTTCCGATTCGCCCGATTGGAAATCCGGGTCGGGTTCGATTTCCCTTCCCTTGACCAATCTCCGATCGAATTACTCCTTCCGGATCTTCCACTGGACCCAATCCGAAATCAACCCCAAACACAACGACCACGACCACAATCCCTTACCCGGAACTCGCCACCTTCTAGCCGAATCAAACCGGTTAACTTTCCGGTCGGGCCTTAACCGGCCGGAACAGATCCATTTGGGTTTAACAGACTTGGTTAACGAGATGCGAGTGATGTTCGTCACAGGAGACGGAGAAGAACGATCCGCTCGATACGGCGAGGCTAAAGAGCGACTCGACAACGTCGTGCTGGCGCGTGGGGTTACGTACGAGAAGGAGCATATGTGCCACGCGCCGGCTAATTCCACCATCGGATGGAGAGATCCAGGTTGGACTTTCGACGCCGTCATGAAGCATCTAAAGCCAGGGATTAAGTACCACTATCAGGTATACAAATTTCGAAACTTTTTTAGTTTTATTTCGAAAAATCAAAATGTTAAAAGAGTTAATACAGGTCGGGAGTGATTCCAAAGGATGGAGTGAGATTCACAGCTTCGTTTCACGAAACGAGAACTCAGACCAAACATTAGCTTTCATGTTTGGAGACATGGGATGTTCCACACCGTACAGAACATTCATCCGTGGAGAAGACGAGAGTTTATCAACCGTGAAATGGATCTTAAGAGACATTGAAGCTCTAGGTGACTATGGTAATAAAGCCGCAATCGTGTCACACATCGGTGATATAAGCTATGCTCGAGGTTACTCGTGGATTTGGGATGAGTTCTTTGCGCAGATTGAGCCAATAGCTTCTCAAATACCGTACCATGTTTGCATTGGTAACCACGAATACGATTGGCCAATGCAGCCGTGGAAACCAGATTGGGCTGCTTATGTCTACGGTAAAGACAGTGGTGGTGAATGTGGAGTACCTTACAGTGTTAAGTTCAACATGCCCGGAAACTCATCGGAAGCCACCGGTATGGTTACAGGACCTCAAAGTCGGAACCTTTACTATTCTTACGACATGGGTTCGGTCCATTTCGTTTATATCTCCACAGAGACTGATTTTCTCAAAGGAGGGAAGCAGTATGGTTTCATAAAGAGTGATCTGGAGTCTGTTAACAGGAGCAAGACGCCGTTTGTTGTTGTGCAAGGGCATAGACCGATGTACACTACGAGCACTAAGGTTAGAGACACTGCGATAAGGCTGAAGATGTTGGAGCATTTGGAGCCGTTGTTTGTGAGGAACAATGTGACGGTTGCTTTGTGGGGGCATGTTCATAGGTACGAGAGGTTTTGTCCGATTAGTAACAACACTTGCGGTGAGCGTTGGCAAGGAAGCCCTGTTCATCTTGTGATTGGTATGGCTGGGCAAGAGACGCAGCCGATTTGGGAGCCGAGGCCTGATCACCCGGATGTTCCGATTTTTCCTCAGCCTGTGAGGTCGATGTACCGTGGAGGAGAGTTTGGGTACACTCGGTTGGTTGCTAACAAGGAAAGGCTCACGCTTTCTTATGTGGGGAACCATGACGGAGAAGTTCATGATGTGGTTGAGATTTTGGCTTCAGGGGAGGTTGTTAGCGGTGGTGATTATGGTAAAGACTCAAACTTGGGATCTGAATCTGATGGATTTGCATTCTTGTGGTATGTTGAAGGAGCAAGTGTGATGGTTTTGGGTGTTGTTTTGGGGTATTTTATTGGGTTTTTAAGTCGAAGAAAGAGAGAATCTGGTACCGGAACTGGATCATCTAATAATGGTCGTTGGATTCCAGTGAAGAACGAGGAGACATGATTCAACTGATTTGTGTTGCCTCACAGATTTGTATAGCATCTTATATACACAAACGTAGTATATATAGTTTTGAGATTATGTTTCTGTTTTAAATTAGAAAGAGCCTGTTAATGTACATTAATTTTGATAAATCTTAATGCAACTAGATGATGATTCCAATTCAGAGGCCAGAGCCTGTAATTAGTAGAAAAATCTGGACAACTTCCCCATTTTTTTGTTCTTTTTCTCCTTTTACAGCAAAATATACAAAGATTATTAACTAAATAATCTTGAGGTATCAAAAACTAAAAGAAAAGGGTTCCTGGGATTAGATTAATAGATTTTTACAGAGTCAAATCAATCAGGAGTCCCTTCTTCTTCAACCTAAAAAACCCCAAAAAAGAATTCCAAGGAGGAAACTTTCAAACTTCTGCTTTCTAAAATAATTTCACTTGGCTAAAAAGAAAATGAAAAACCTGCAGAAATCGGAGAAGAAAACCTTCATTTACTTCCCCTTGGAGTTATCCTCATCATCATCATCATTCTCTCTCCATTCATCTCGACCAAATATCTCCTCAATGATGTTCGAAGTTGGTAGAAGATCGTTGTTCTTGATCCAGCAATCTGATGGTGCGAGTCTCCCATCACAGGCATCATCAAACGAAAACGAATCATCACCACCAGATCTGCGGCACTCTCTGTTTCCAATCGAGCTGTGAGAAAAGATCAAACTGGAGTCCTGTAGCTCGAAGGACATACACGAGTCGTCTTCCACGTATACCTCACCGCCTCTTGAATCCTTATCCATATATACACAACGAGCATCGTTACTTGGTGATCCTTCTTCGTCGTTGCTGTTGGTTTCTTCTTCTTCTTCTTCTTCCTCCTCCTCCTCGTATTCAACTTGCCATTCATCGTCGTCACTGTCAACGTCTAGGGTTCTAATCCGGTTCTGCGTAGCCCGTCTCTGCAAGATGAAGACATTGAAGTAGTAGCTAACAAGTTCCTTCATGGTTTTTGAAGGAAAAGTCGCCTTCAATTGCTTCCAGAAGTTGCGACCCATTGAAACAGGATTGGAGTAGACAACTCTATGAAACAGATCTTCTTCGTCTTCAGTCCATAACCTTGCAACCTCCTCTCCCATTTCACAGAACCCTAGCTCCCTAAACCTCTCGTATCCTATATCTTTGATCAGCCTCTCTCTCGCTTCCATGACATGTAGCCGCACGCATCTGACAGAGCCTTTGTCAAGGCAAAGACATTCCTTTCTTCCTTGACCAACAACAGATCCACAAACGTCTGATTCAGGCATTGGTGTTATAATGCACTTCCCCATCAGTATTCTTTCTACTGCATCGTTACCGCGATCAAGAATCTCTTCCTTGACGTATTCAGGGATCTCCGCCTGGTGGTTAGACCCAACCGGAACTTCTTTCGTCGGAGCATGACTCATCAGACGAGTGTAAGCATCCTCCAATGGTGAAACTGGTCTCCAGGTGGAATCTGAACCGGAAGATTGTTGAGAAAGAGATGACTGAGTCGTCGTCGTCGCATCTTCCTGAAACGAACCGGTTTGGTTCCACGAGAACGGTGCACATGTATCAAAATCCTTCTCAACATGATCATTGTAACTCCATGTAGGCTTATCGTCGGCTGCAGATTGCAAGAGAAGTCCAAGTTAACACACAAAGCTTAATTTTTAAAAATATTTATAACTGTTGAGAAGTTTCTTGCTTTGTACCTAAGAAACCTGTTTTCTCCAGAGGAAAATGATAAGGAATGAATTCGTCTGATTGGCTGAGATGCTTAGGGCTATAACTAAGCTGCCTTGCATGCTTAGCGTTGCACTCTTGCATCTCTTCAGCATCAAAAGGTCGCTTCAGTCCCATTTTTATATAGACCTGAATGGTAAAGAACCAAAGTCAATTTAGTCACTTTCTTGATATTAAAAGTTGATAATTCCATATTCAGAGAGGTAGAGATAATATATCAATTTGATTTTGATTTATTTAGGTAGATGTTTATAACCAACGGACCCACAATAAATGATCATAACGTAGCACACGGTTCATATTTACGAAAACATAATAAAAAAAATTGATGGGTATTTTGGTGATTTTCATGAGTCAGAAGTCAAAACTTTGATTAAATTATTTTTTAAAAAATAATCCCCAAATTCGAGTGAAAACCTAACCCTGGATTTTTCAATTCACGGCTGAAAATCAAGAGTCGAAAACCAAAGAATCGATGAATTTTCAGAAGGAGGAACGATACCCCCAAATCAATTTAAAGATCTAACGAACCCTAGGGCATCAAATTGAGCGACGAACAAATTAGGGTAAAGAAATTTGGGGAAAACTGGAAATCAAACCAAAAATCGACAGGGATGTAGCAAAGAATCAAAGGCCTAAACAGATCTGGCGTTTGGTGATCTTAATCGAGAATCAGATGATAAAAACCCTAGGTTTGATCAAATCGAGGGATGTATATAAAAACAGGTATCAATCGAAAGATAAAATCAAGATCAAGAAGAAAATTACAATTGATTCGAAGATCGATGAGCAAGAAGGAGAGGATCTGAGCGAATTTCTTTGAAAAATTGTGGTAAAAAATATTAGGAATATCGAAGGCGGCTAGGGTTACAGGTCGTGTTTTTCGAACAGGCAGAGACGTAACCTTATTAAATCCGCTCGAGATGGAAGTTCCAAAACTACCCTCGACTTTTTAATCAGCACGTGTCCTCAACTTGCATTCGCTTTTATCTAGGCGTATTAAATTAGGATTAACTAAATCTGTCAAGAAAGAAAAAAATTAGGATTAACCAAACCGATTCAAACCGAGATAGGAAATCTTTTAATTGAACTTTAAGCCGGACACTAAACCAAAAACTAAAAATTTAGAAAACCTCCCATTTCTATCTCATAGTTCTTCTATCTTTTAAAACCAAAAGATGGTTATAAAAGGTTTAAACGGAATTCAACCCAAATTGTACAGAATAGGTATAAAATATGGTTTTTGTCAATAACCGGACCAAGCTTTATCAGACCGGTATTAGCCAATTTGTATTGAATAAGTATCAAATCCCAAAATCATACTTTCACGTGACCATTCACTGTAATTCTCCGACGAACATTCTTCATTTATACTCCTTCCGTTCCATATTATTTAATGTTTTAGCTTTTTACATTTATCTTTTATTATTTGATATTTTAGAGTATTAAATATATTTTTGTTAATTAATGCAACAAAAATACAAACTTCAAAATAATTCTATAACTTTTATTGGCTAATAGTTATTTAAAATTAAAAAGTAATACACTAATAATTAGACATTAATTGTTTCTTAATCTATGTGAAAACCACAGAACATCAAATAATATGGAACAGAGGGAGTATATTTATTCTTGGTATCGCGCCTTAACTGTTAGAAATGTTTTGTATGTTTCTTCTTTGTATCTAACTAGTAGAGTACCCGCACGTTTGTGCGGTGTAACGTTGTGGTTTGGTGTAGAAAATTTAAACCTTAAATCCAAATCCGACAAAAAACCCTAATATAAAATTTTTAAAACCCAAAATTTTTTAATATGTCTAAACTCAAAAATCTGAAATCAAAAAAATCCCGAAAACCCTGAACTGAACAAAAAAAAAATCTGGAAACTTTTTCACCTGAAACGTGACCCAAATACCCTAATCAAAAATTTAAAATACTTAACTTTTTTAATATATCTAAACCCGAAAACCCAAAATCCTTAAAATCCGGAAACCCTAAACTGAAAAAAAAAAAACTCGAACCCAATCCGAACTTAAATTTTCAAAGAAACCCGAACAATTTCTATATCTCTATATCTCTATAAAATTAGTCTCAGATTTTCACCCAAACCCGAACTTGTCTATAAAAATCCGAAAATCCAAAAAGCATATTCTATTGATTTGGTATTATCGTTAGATTATGTTAAGTTTTTTTTTTTTTGCAGATCTTTAAGAGCTGGAAAACGGAAATTTTCTAAACCATCGGTTTGTTTTAAGTTATTATTCTTGTATCCAAACAATTTTTTCCATTTATTCTTATATCCAAATAGGTTATTCTCTTATTCTTGTATCCAAACATTCCAATCGCACGCGCGGGTCTGTTCTAATGATTTTTTAAATTGTTATATTTAAATTTATTTTCTTCCAAAGCTTCACAATTTTTTATTTTTTGCTGTTTTTTTATAAACTTATCTTTGTAATATACTTTTTAATTATTTTTTTACTTTACCAATTTAATTATTTTATAATTAATCATAATAAGTAAGGTACTTTTTAAAAACGTATTTTCTGTAAAAAACATACAATAGCCCTATCCTCACATTTCTTAATATTTATATGTTTTGTCAATTGCTTCATAAAATTCGACATAAGAATAGATCCCAAACTTTTCTTTTTCAATATTATGACAACATGATCAGCCTGAACCAACATTGTTTTTAAGTGAACCGTATTAGAAACTTGTGAAAAAAAAAACCTTATAATTTGGCTTGTCGTCTTTGTTCTAAATTGGTAGCTTCTTTTTCTTTTTATTTATTCTTATTCGTTTTTTTGGTCATCTTCACTCATCTTCTTTGCTCTTCTTCGTCTTCGCTCGTCTTGCTTCCTCTTTTGGTTTCTTCTCCTCCTTTCTTCTTTGATTAATTCTTAATTTTCAATTTCATCTTCGTGGTTTCTTATTCGGTGTTTCCGTCTTCAACTTTGTTATTCTTTGGGTCTTTTTTTTTCTTTCTACTTTGGTATCTTCGTCTTCGATAATTTTTAATTTTATCTTCTTAATGTTCTTCTTTCATATCCTCTTCATATGTCATTTTTCAGTCTGAGTATATGATTCAGCCATTTTCTTCAACAAACTTGTGGCAAATGAGAACTCTTCACTGTAAATCCTTCAAGGTGCAACAAAGATGATTACTTTGTCTCCAATAGTTTTATTGTCTACTCCTTTCCACCCTTGGATTTTTTGGCATCCGTAGAAGGCTGGTACTCTCTTCCTATTTGAATATTGTGAGTTACAGTAAAATAAAATCTTCCTTAAGGCTGTGAAAGATGTCCATGAATGAATGCCCGAAGTTCAGCTAAGAAAGCAGCCTCTTTTTATCCTCTGTTTGGCATGCATTAGAATATGGAACACAAAATATTGTTTTTGTAATGCAACTTGGAATATTTTCTTAGAAAAATGTGGTATGATATGGATTATCAAATCTCCCTTGAACTCTCATCTGCTCCGTAGAAGTGCAAGTATACTAATTACTTCGTTTTTTCTTCCTCTTCACTTATATTCACTCATCCACACTCATCATCTACTTTGATCTTCTTCGTATTTGCTCGTCTTGCTTCTTCTTTAGACAAATGTGGTATGAGATGGATTATCAAATCTTCTCCGTAGAAGTGTAAGTATACTAATTACTTCGTTTTTTCTTCATCTTCACTTATATTCACTCATCTACACTCATCATCTACTTTGATCTTCTTCGTATTTGCTCGTCTTGCTTCTTCTTTTTCGTTCTTGTTTGGTTTATTCTCCTCTGTTCTTATTTGATTCCTTATATATCAATTTCATCTACGTGGTTTCAGATTCGGTGTTTCCATCTTCTACTTTATTCTTCTTTGGTTTTTTTTTTGTCTTTCTATTTTGGTATCTTCGTCTTCGATGTTCTTATTTTTATCTTCTTATTGTTCTTATTCCATATCTTCTTCATATGGTATTTTATAATATGAATTTGTGATTCAGTCTTTTTTTCAACGAAGTTGCGGCAAGCGAACACCTTTCATTGAAACTTCTTCAAGGTGCAAAAAAGATGACTACTCTGTCTCCAATAGTTTTATTATCTACTCCTCTCTACCTTTGGATTTTTTTGCATTTGTAGAAGGCCCATAAACTTTTCCTATTTGAATATTGTGATTTACATAAAGATAAAATCCTCTTTAAAGTTGTGAATAATGCCCAATTGCCCATGAATGAGTGATGCCCGAAGTTCAGCTAAGAAAGCAGACTCTCTTTACCCTCTCTATTTGGCATGCATATAATCTGAAATGGAAAATCTTGTTGTGATAATGCAACTTGGAATGTTTCCTTGGACAAATGTAGTATGAGATGGATTATCAAATCTCCCAAGAACTCTCCTTTGCAATGCAAGTCTAGTCTTTACTTGTTTGACCAATATTGTTGAAATTCTTGTGATAAATAAAGTGTAATTTAGTGGGCTATATGCATATTTTTCTTTTCCCAATGTAAGTTGGATCTCGCAAAACTTGATCTCTCTTATCATCTCAAAGGAACTACACATGAATTTAAATGTCTTCTTCATGACATTAGCCGTCTTTATTATTATTATTTTTTATCTTTTTTTATTATTTCATATCTAGATTATGTAATGTTAATATCCACTCACTTGCAAAGTTGGCTATATTTACTTTGAACAAATCTTTCAGTTATTACTTATTAGGGTGTAACTTTCTCTTTTTGTTTTTTTTTTTTTAAGTTAGCTAAAAAAGAAAACTCACCATATAATTTTTCATGATTAATATAGTAGTTCCCTTAAAATATTTTTGTATAAATCTTTCAAATATAGTTACTATTTTAACAAAAATTGAAGCACTTTATTTAATTATTTTGGAATTTTGAAGTTTAATAATTTAAAATCGGTTATATATTAGAGTTACTAAAAAATTAATATTACAAATTTACAAAATCGTTTATATATTAGTTTCTTTTTATTGGTTTAGAAAATATAATTTCTTTATTTAATAAATTATTTAATACGAAAATAAATAATTCCCTTAAATTCGGAAATTATCTGAAAATATAAAAAGGAAATCAATTAATTTTACAAAGACTGTAATTAAATTTATATGATGATGT